TATCGCACTCAACTGTCGTCATGAAAGCAATAAGCCCGGTGCGGTCTATGAGGAGCAACATCTCCAACTCGTCGGAACATACCCTCGGCATCTCCCGGAGCAAGAGCCCGATGGATGACCCTCTGAGTCTGCTATACAATATGAACGACTGCTACACCATGCTGAAGGAACTGGTGCCCAGCCTCCCACAGAACAGGAACGTCAGTAAAATGGAGATATTGCAGCATGTTATAGACTATATCTTGGACCTTCAGATTGCACTGGACTCTAGCTCGTCCCTCTCCAGCTGCCAACATCAGCAGCAGCAGCTGGGACAGGGACAGGCAGCATCACCCAGGAATCCCCTAGCAACCATCAACTCAGACATCAGCCTCATCACCTTTCAGGTAAAAATAGAATCGAATAGCTTTATTTTTCCAATAAGAGGACTTCTGTTTTGGAGTGGTTCAGAAAAATAAATAGTCTAACATAAACATAGTAGGCTACACAGAATCTAGCGTGTTCAATTGGAATTCCTATATTTTAATGGATCCCCTAAATCCTATGACATGAACAGTATTAATGTGGCCTAGGTAATATATGTCTATATGCTTATATGCTTACTAGGCTTTTCGAATATATCTATTATTATTTTTTACATTCTTTCCAAAGCAGCCTGCCTATTTTGCTTCGCATAAAGCTTTTGCAGTTGACTATGTGCCACTGTTGGTTATTGTACACGTGACAGCTTGGTGGTGAATTAATGTAGCATCAGCCCAATAGAGTCCAGACCACTGCCACTGTACTAACTCAGCAATGCCAGTAGCCTCTATCTGTAAATGGTGATATTTAACAGTGGTTGTCTTGTATGTTTTTACAGTCAAGTGACCACTTCCCCAAAGAGACAGAGACTAATGACAGCTAAAGTCTCCTTCACTGACTGGGTAAGTGTTTATTTTCTGCCAATATTGCATCCATCATTTCCATTTGGAATAGTCATTTTGTTCATTAGGAAAAAACAAGTCCAAACTACACTGTCCCCATAAGAGAATCCTTTTGGGTTCCATGTAGAATCCTCTGTGGAAAGGGTTCTACCCGGAACCAAAAAGGGTTCTTCACAGGGTTCTCCTATGGGGACAGCCGAAGAACCCTTTTAGATTCTAGATAGCACCTTTTTTTCTAAGAGTGTATAAGGACATGGATACTTGGTATAAGTTGCTCTTTGAAAAGGGTAGTCTATATGAGCTGTTAAATTGTTGACTTGACTAAGATATGACATCACTGTAGATGGAATAACCTATCATGAAATAATAGTCTCTGGCTACATAATAGACAGACTGGCTACTCCAGTCAGTGGTTGAGGGTTCTGAAAACTACCGGTCTGTAGATCATTTGCAGCGAGGAAAAGCAGGCGCCAGCATCATTATAGCTGTAGTATAGATCCATTCCCACGTTGTACTTAGAGGTTGTCAGGATGTTGCTTATTCCTCCGACTGAGTCGACGCCTCCATCTGGTGCTCAGGGATTGCCCTGTATTTCAGTGTGTGCGTCCCAAATAGCACCCTATTCTCTATGTAGAGCCCTATGGGCCCTGGTTAAAAGTAGTGCACTACATAGGGAATAGGGTGCCATATGAGACAGACGCTCACCAGTATTTCAGTGTTTGGTTAAAGTAGAAAAATAACTGTGGCTTCCTCTCAGGCGCCAGTCTGACTGTCCAGTTCCCTGTCTGTCCTTTAGCCTGGCTTCTCTCTAAACATGACCCTCTTTTCTGTTCCGAATCTCTTACAGGTGTGTTTTAAATAGGACCTCATGTTCCCCTCCAATGGCTGGCTGGTTTTCCCGCTTGATTTAACTTCTTTTTTTCCTAAAAAGGAGATATGTGTTGTTGTTGTTTTTAGTTTTTTTTTTATCTACTGGCCTGGCATATTTTCTTCCAACTGAAGAATGATACCTCAACAACAATGGGAACACAACGACAGACTGACTGAAATTACAGTATTGAAACGAGATATCTTTCCACAAGAGGAGACTGCCTTTTCTTGGGAAAGTGGCGCATTACTACAGAGACTAATGGACACTCAATGTCTGTAAATGTTAAGACAACATCATGCCTGTATAGTAGCAGATTTGTTGCAGAGAATATAAAGATGCATTTTATTGTGCTGCGGCTTTCAAAGAAATGTTGTAAATTGCACTTTTATACAATAATAAAGTATATTCCTTATACTGTGCATTATGTTAATATCCATATTACTTTACAATACCTGACCTTTTTCAATCTTTTAAATTACTGTCACTGTACTTTCTCTTACAACGAAGGATGGTGGAACTGCATTCCCTTTAACTTGCTTTTAAATATATCTGAATAGAGTCAGATTAGATTAATTAGGAAGACAATATCTTAAGGCTCAATGCATTGCAGTTACTAATCTTATCCAGTTATCCAGGATGGTGTACTGGTGTGCCCATCTAGTCACTCACTGGTGGTTCTCTGTAGATCAGTTGATAGAGCATGGCACTTGCAACACTAGGATAGTGGGTTTGATTCCTGGGACCAACCATACGTAAAACTATTTATGCACACATGACTCTTAAGTCGCTTTGGATAAAAGCGTCTGCAAAATGGCACATATTATATTACTACATATTATGGCACTTACTACTATTTTTGCATGGGGGAGCACGCCCCCTGCTGGCCGACTTTAAGAAGGAACTGCTATATGAAAGTATGAGAATGCTTAGTGGTTCATACTTCTAATTTCTAATGTCTTTGTGAGAACATACAAGAGGCTAGACTGTAGAAGACCAACATCCAGGTTTTATTTTTCAGTCAGATAATGTCTGACGGCACCATTCACTTCTTTCCCTTCATAGATAGAATATCATTTCTTTTCTTCTCCCACATGGTTATCATCTGACTGGTTGAAGACAACATACAACATCACCATGCATGCAATACATAGGAGAGCACTCTTTGACATTTGCACAGATATTTGCAAACTAATTTGCGCATGCATTGTACAGGTCATTATGTACGCATGCAACACCAATCTTTACTGTAGCCAGATGTGTGAATCGGACAACATTTAATGTACATTTTATATCTGCTTAATTCAAATGTACATTTAATGGCATCGGATTCAGAAATGGGGCTATCTTTATTGGCCTCTACTACTGTTCCAGGATGAGACAGGCCATGACAACATGTAATAAACCAGATAACTTTACAACCACTGTTCATTACAAAGCAGCGTACATACACTCCCATTTATCATATGGCGAAGAGTCAGCAACTGAATTTTGCAGTGAACAATAACTTTTCTGAAGATACTTCTCGTTCTCAATTTCTTGTTAAACTGCTATTATTGTCACATATTAGTGTCAACGTCCCTCCTTTTATCCTAAAATGTTTGTTAGTGTTGGAAAGAGATGTGTCCCAAATGGCACCCTATTCCACCGATAGCGCACTACTTTTGACCAGGGCCCACAGGGAGGTAAAATATTTAAAAGCCCTGTGGCTTTTGCAATGAGACGAATAGTTCAGTTGACTCTCCTCCATGTCATTTGCTGAGACACGTCAAAGACAGATCCTACACACAATTTTGTTCATTTGGCTCACGTGTTCATACGCATTCATTCTTCATCTATACCAGGTCTCTTCTATTTTACCCACCCACAAGCTCAATACATCACTTGTTGACACACATAGGCAGCAGCAGATAATATTAATACTGTTGAGGCGTGCGTGTAGCCTGGTCCCACAACTGCTTGTGCTCTTGCCAAATCCATTGCTCATTGTCAAGCCATTGGCATGACAACGAGTGACAAGGAGTTGGCGTGATGGCACAAACAGCCTGACACTCAGGCTACCATGCTTGTTGTAGTGCAAAACAATAAACAGATAGTTAGTCAGTCACTGTATGTAGTTAGTTGTAAATTATACTGCACTGTAAAAAGTGGGACGGCGCTTTTAAGCACTTTTACTGATTGGAATGATCGAAATTTACGCTTTGGTTCATTCAACCTGTTCTATCGATTTGTCTGAAATCAAATAACGAATTCGTCAGATCAATGTGATTATTTTATTTGAATGAAAGCTTCTAAATTGCTTTCAACACCTCATGAATAGGTCCAGTGTAGCTCAGTTGGTAGAGCATGGCGTTTGCAACGCCAGGGTTGTGGGTTCGATTCCCACGGGGGGCCAGTATGAAAATGTATGCACTCACTAAACTGTAAGTGGCTCTGGATAAGAGCAGCCTATCAGAAGAGTTAGAGGTGTGGCTTTCAATTGGTTATTTTTACCCACCCGTGAGAATGAATGTCATTCCAGTTAATGCGGTCTATTGTATTTGTTATCCAAACAAATGTGTACACTGCCAGCAACTGTAATGATACTTGCACGTGATACTAAAGCGCCAGATAAGGTTTCTATGTTAAGATAGCCATTGCTTGGTTATGATATTATGGTTACTAAATGTGAAGGTCTTAAGTTTGGAAACATTATTTCAAGTTACCGTAATTTCTTATTTTACAGGTTGTTCATTTCATTGCTTGTAACCCAATTGAAGACATTTGGATAGGTAATTCCAAAGTAAAAAGTGAACTAGGAACAAGATGAAAAAATTGGTTGTATTGACATTAAATATTTGTTTCTATTTGTTATATTAAGTTTAACCAAAGGGGAAAAGTAGGATGAGTGTTGAAAGAAATATGTTACAACTTGAAATATAGGTGAATTAAATATAACAGTTGGCATTGAATCATATATTTGCCATAATAATGTTCTTGTTTTTACTTGTGACCAGAGGTGGAGAAAATTAGGTTGATCCAAAGAGCAATTTTTTACAGTGTCCATAGCTAGCTACCTTCACTTCCACAGGAGAATATCAAGATGGTTAGTAGGGGTCACTTCACTTCACTTCAGACAACACAAATACACAGTACAACATCTCAGTGAGCTGCCTCTACCTAGTAGCCTGGTGAAACCAGACTGACCGCTGCGCTCTCCTGTAACAGAACGTGAGCAGGCTGGTTTAACAAGGCTATCTACTTAGTGCACACCTAGCACTAACATAATCTATTTACCCATTTAGCTAGCTATGGTACCTTGCTACGCATGCATTGTCAGACTACCACACCAAACATCTGACTAAGTGCTCTCCAGGGGTCTGCCGCCTGAGTACGAGGTGGGCGGGAGGCTCACAGGATGCTCTCGCGCTCCTCTCCGAAAGTGACGGTGTCGGAGGACACGGTGGTGATCTCCGGAGGATCCCCGGGGTTCAGCCCCCTCTTCAGGTGCACCACGCGCACGTTCTCGTTGTGCGGGCCGGGCTTGGTGGTGGTACTGGTGGTGCCGGAACCCGTGGAGATGATGACCTCGCTGATGGAGGAGGAGGTAGGGGTGGAACAGGTTGTGCTGGTGGACCCCACCGGAGCTCTCTGCCCCTGGGAACGCTGCTGCTGGTTCCCCTGCTGATGGGCGTTGGTGTTGTTGTTGAGGGTGGTGTTGCTGGGCGTGCGGTTGAGGTTGTAGCTCTTGGACGAGGGCCAGCTCTCTTCGGGGCTGCTGGCCAGCAGGCTGCACTGGTCCTCGGAGCAGATGGACATGCGGGCCACGGCTGGGTCCTGGAGACCACTCAGGCTGCTGGGCAGACCCCTCTTACTGGCTGCCCGGCTCTGGCTGTCCTCCTGGTCCAGCTCGATCAGGTTGGCCCGCTCCAGCTGGGACAGGTCAGCCTCCTCATCCTGCAGGGAGTGGTTGGGCGAGCTCTCGTTGGAGCGCATGCCGGAGTCAGACGAATCCTTCTTATCCAGCATGGAGTCAGATGGATATTCTTTCCCCTTAGCCAGGGCCAGGGAGCTGCTGCCGGAGGATGCTTTTAAGTCACCTGGCTTCTTCACGTCCCCCAGGAGAGGAGCGTCAGAGTTCTCTGAATCCTCGTCGTCGCTGGTGAGCTTCTGGTAGCGCAGCCCGCCGGTCTTCATCTTGAGGTCGGCTGCTCCCTGGAACATGCCGCTCCCCCGGTCACTGGACCCGGGCACCTTGCGTCCAAGCAGGGTCTTGGAGGAGCCGTGGGGGTCCTGCTTCTCGTCCTCCTCTGTGATGGGGTCCAGGGGGGCTTCGGCGGTGGTGAAGTCCGGGGCGTCCACGGCGGGAGGCTTGGTGGTGCTTCTCTTTGTGGTAGCCTTGTCCTTGGTTTTGTCCTCGGAGCTGGAGGAGGTCATGAATTGGTTGGGGTGGGGCTGGACGGGCTTCTCTCCCCCGCCTCCGCCTACCTCCAGCGTGGCCATCTGGGCGATGTACTCCTGATAGGCGTTGCGATACTCGGACTGCTGCTTTTCCGTCAGCTTGACGATGTCGTTGGACGACTCCTGGGAGTTGAGGCTGGACATGCTGGGGGTGCGGTGGGTGGGGGCCTAGGGAGGAGGAGAGGGGAGGGGGAGGACATGGAACATATACATGGATCTCATACAGTAAGAAATTGAAAGACTGAGGAAGACCTAGATCTGTGGTCTAAGTACATATGAAGGCTATCATTTGGTTTACATACAGGTCAATGGCTTAATTCATGGTTCTGTACGTATACATACAGTGCATTCGGAAAATATTCAGACCCTTTCTCCACATTTTTTTACGTTACAGCCTTATTCTAAAATTGATTACATTCGTTTTTTCCCTCATCAATATACACACAATACCCCATAATGACAAAGCAAAAACAGTTGTTTTTTTATGTTTGCAAATGTATTTAAAAAAAACATAAAACATACACTACCGTTCAAAAGTTTGGGGTCACTTAGACATGTCCTTGTTTTCGAAAGAAAAGCAATTTTTTGGTCCATTCAAATAACATCAAATTGATCAGAAATACAGTGTAGACATTGTTAATGTTGTAAATGGCTATTGTAGCTGGAAACGGCTGTTTTTTTATGGAATATCTACATAGGCATACAGAGGCCCATTATCAGCAACCATCAGTCCTGTGTTCCAATGGCACGTTGTGTTTGCTAATCCAAGTTTTTTATTTGAAAAGGCTAATTGATCATTAGAAAACCCTTTTGCAATTATGTTAGCACAGCTGAAAACTGATGTGCTGATTAAAGAAGCAATAAAACTGGCCTTCTTGAGACTAGTTGAGTATCTGGAGCATCAGCAATTGCGTTCGATTACAGGCTCAAAATGGCCAGAAACAAATACGTTTCTTCTGAAACTCGACAGTCTATTCTTGTTCTGAGAAATGAAGGCTATTCCATGTGAGAAATTGCCAAGAAACTGAAGATCTCGTACAACGCTGTGTACTACTCCCTTCACAGAACAGCGCAAACTGGCTCTAACCAGAATAGAAAGAGGAGTGGGAGGCCCCGGTGCACAACTGAGCAAGAGGACAAATACATTAGAGTGTCTAGTTTGAGAAACAGACGCCTCACAGGTCCTCAATTTGCAGCTTCATTACATATTACCCGCAAAACACCAGTCTCAACGTCAACAGTGAAGAGGCGACTCTGGGATGCTGACCTTCTAGGCAGTTGCAAAGAAATCTCAGACTGGCCAATAAAAGAAAAGATTAAGATGGGCCATTTTGAGCCTGTAATCGAACCCACAATTGCTGATGCTCCAGATACTCAACTAGTCTCAAGAAGGCCCGTTTTATTGCTTCTTTAAATCAGCACAACAGTTTTCAGCTGTGCTAACATAATTGCAAAAGGGTTTTCTAATGATCAATTAGCATTTTAAAATGATAAACTTGGATTAGCAAACACAACGTGCCATTGGAACACAGGACTGATGGTTGCTGATAATGGGCCTCTGTACGCCTATGTAGATAGTCCTTTAAAAATCATCAGTTTCCAGCTACAATAGCCATTTACAACATTAACAATGTCTACACTGTATTTCTGATCAATCTGATGTTATTTTAATGGGCAAACTTTTGAACGGTAGTGTATATACCTTATTTACATAAGTATTCAGACCCTTTGCTAAGAGACTCGAAATTGAGCTCAGGTGCATCTTGTTTCCATTGATCATCCTTGAGATGTTTCTACAACTTGATTGTAGTCCAACTGTGGTAAATTCAATTAATTGGACATGATTTGGAAAGGCACACACCTGTCTCTTGTCCGTAGAGCTCCGAGACAGGATTGTGTCGAGGCAAAGATCTGGGGAAGGGTACCAAAAAATGTCTGCAGCATTGAAGGTCCCCAAGAACACAGTGGCCATCTTTCTTAAATTGAAAAAGTTTGGAACCACCAAGACTCTTCCTAGAGCTGGCCGCCCGGCCAAACTGAGCAATCGGAGAAGATGGGCCTTGGTCAGGGAAGTGACCAAGAACCCAATGGTCACTGACAAAGCTCCAGTGTTCCTCTGTGGAGATGGGAGAACCGTCCAGAAGGACAACCATCTCTGCAGCACTCCACCAATCAGGCCTTTATGGCAGAGTGGCCAGACGGAAGCCACTCCTCAGTAAAAGGCACATGACAGCCTGCTTGGAATTTGCCAAAAGGCACCTAAAGGACTCAGACCATGAGAAACAAGATTATCTGGTCTGATGAAACCAAAATTGAACTCTTTGGCCTGAATGCCAAGCGTCACGTCTGGAGGAAACCTGGCACCATCCCTACGGTAAAGCATGTGGGTGGCAGTATCATGCTGTAGGAATGTTTTTTAGCGGCAGGGACTGAGAGACTAGTCAGGATCGAGGGAAAGCTGAACGGAGCAAAGTACAGAAAGATCCTTGATGAAAACCTGCTCCAGAGCGCTCAAGACCTCAGACTGGGGCGAAGGTTTACCTTCCAACAGGACAACGACCCTAAGCACACAGCCAAGACAACTCAGGAGTGTCTTCGGAACAAGTCTCTGAATGTCCTTGAGTGGCCCAGCCAGAGCCCGGACTTGAACCCGATCTAACATCTCTGGAGAGACCTGAAAGTAGCTGTGCAGCGACGCTCCCCATCCAACCTGACAGCGCTTGAGAGGATCTGCAGCGAAGAACGGGAGAAACTCCCCAAATACAGGTGTGCCAAGCTTGTAGCGTCATACCCAAGAAGATTCAAGGCTGTAATCGCTGCCAAAGGTGCTTCAACAAAGTACTGAGTAAAGGGTCTGAATACTTATGTAAATGTTATATATTTTTTTAACCTATTTTTGCTTGGTCATTATGGGGTATTGTGTGTAGATTGATGAGGGGAAAAATCAATTGAATCCATTTTAGAATAAGGCTGTAACGTAACAAAATGTGGAAAAAGTCAAGGGGTCTGAATAGCTATACAATTCCAGTCTTTCTGTCAACGTAATATAATGATGCAACGTAGACCTCCCTACAATGGAAGAGATCACCAGTCACTCACCATCCATGTGTTGTTGCTGTGCCTGGGAGGCTCGTCCAGTCCCACGTTGCTCAGTTCCTCAAAGCTCAGGTTGAAGCTGTACATGGGTGAGTTGGCGTCGAGGTTGGCAGCGCCGGCGTGGGGCGGGGCGACCTGGCGCCTCGGTTCCCCGTGGCCCACCATACTGCTGTCCACCTCGCTGGGAGCCTCCTCGTGAAGCACCTGGCTCTCCACCTGACGCATCTCCAACACCTAGAGGAAGGGGAGGAAGAGGAGGAAGAGGAGGGAAAGGAAGAAGAAGAGGGAGGGAGAGAGTGGAAGAAGGAGAGGAGGAGGAAGATGTAGGGAGAGGAAGAAGGAGAGGAAAAGGAGGAGAAAGAGGCAGAGAAAGAAGAAGAGAAAGGAACAATGCACCCTTCTCTAAATACGGCTGGGCTAATGAGTAATTAATGTGTTAAGAAGTGATTGATAACAGCAGCGTCCAGTGTTAAAGCTACTGGTAAATCCACTACAAAATAAACTTGCAAGAGGCAAGGTTAGGGTTAAACTCACGGTTCCTCTGAAGAGCTGCCAGTCTCCAAAGTTCATTTTCATCTCATTCTTCAGCTCATCAATGTTGCACTGGGTCAGAACTCTGCCATTCACATTAGCCTGAGAGACAGAGAGGAGCACGAGAGACAAGGAAGAGGAGGTTAATGGTAGAGACAGAGAGGAGGTTAATGGTAGAGACAGAGAGGAGGTTAATGGTAGAGAGAGCGAGAGGAGGTTAATGGTAGCGAGAGAGGTTAATGGTAAAGAGAGAGCAAGAGAGAGAGAGAGAGAGTGAGAGAGAGAGAGAGAGAGAGGGGGAGAGAGAGAGAGAGAGGGGGGAGGTTAATGGTAGAGAGAGAGAGGAGGTTAATGATAGAGAGAGGTTAATGATAGAGAGGTTAATGATAGAGAGAGGAGGTTAATGGTAGAGACAGAGGTTAATGATAGAGAGAGGTTAATGATAGAGACAGAGAGGAGGTTAATGGTAGAGACAGAGAGGAGGTTAATGGTAGAGACAGAGGTTAATGATAGAGACAGAGAGGAGGTTAATGGTAGAAACAGAGAGGAGGTTAATGGTAGAGAGAGGTTAATGATAGAGAGGAGGTTAATGATAGAGACAGAGAGGAGGTTAATGGTAGAGACAGAGAGGAGGTTAATGGTAGAGACAGAGGTTAATGGTAGAGACAGAGGTTAATGATAGAGAGAGGTTAATGATAGAGACAGAGAGGAGGTTAATGGTTGTCACGCCCTGACTCAGGGGACGTTTATTTGTTGAGTCAGGGTGTGTATATTCTATGATGTGTAGTTCTATGTTTTCTATCTAGTATGTCTAGATCTATGTTGGCCGGTGTGGTTCCCAATCAGAGGCAGCTGTCGCTCATTGTCTCTGATTGGGGACAATACTTAGGTAGCCTATTGGCACTAGTGGGTTGTGGGATCTTGTTCCGTGTGAGGTTTGTTGTGTGTTACCTTTGGATGTCATGTTTCGTTGGTTTATTGTTTTGTCGTTGTTTATAAGTTAAAATAAACATGTATGCATATCACGCTGCGCCTTGGTCCGACCCGTCATTGAACGAACGTGACAATGGTAGACAGAGAGGAGGTTAATGATAGAGACAGAGAGGAGGTTAATGGTAGAGACAGAGAGGAGATTAATGGTAGAGACAGAGAGGAGGTTAATGATAGAGAGAGGAGGTTAATGATAGAGAGAGAGGAGGTTAATGGTAGCGAGAGAGGTTAATGGTAGAGACAGAGAGGAGGTTAATGGTAGAGAGAGCGAGAGGAGGTTAATGGTAGAGACAGAGAGGAGGTTAATGGTAGCGAGAGAGGTTAATGGTAGAGACAGAGAGGAGGTTAATGGTAGAGAGAGCGAGAGGAGGTTAATGGTAGAGACAGAGAGGAGGTTAATGGTAGAGACAGAGAGGAGGTTAATGGTAGAGACAGAGAGGAGATTAATGGTAGAGACAGAGAGGAGGTTAATGATAGAGAGAGGAGGTTAATGGTAGCGAGAGAGGTTAATGGTAGAGACAGAGAGGAGGTTAATGGTAGCGAGCGGAGATTAATGATAGAGAGAGAGGAGGTTAATGATAGAGAGAGAGGAGGTTAATGATAGAGACAGAGGAGGTTAATGATAGAGAGAGAGGAGGTTAATGATAGAGAGAGAGGAGGTTAATGGTAGAGACAGAGGAGGTTAATGATAGAGACAGAGGAGGTTAATGATAGAGATCTCTCTCTCTCAGCTCACCTTCTTAATGGTGGCAGTGTACTGGGTCAGCATGCTCTGGTCGATACCCTCGATCTGTTTGACACGTTCACACACTGCGTCTGTGTTCATGGAGCTCAGGAGGATGGCTGGGGTGCCCGACACCACAGAGGCTGAACCCTGACACACACACACACACACACAACACACAACCAGGTCCAGAACACACCGTCAATGACCAGATAGAGGATTCAACCAACAGGAAAAACATGGCTTATTGGTTAATACAGTATGGCTACATTTAATGGAGGTCAAGATTACATTTCTCAAAGTATTCATCAATAGTAACCTCTGCCGTTTTGAGTAGAAATGTATTGATACAAAATAAAATAGAATTGGAATTCCATGCTGAAACACCGTTGAAATCTGCAAAGGTAATACAGGAAGGCCCAGTGAAAGGGGAGAGCAACATGAAAAGACAGGAAGACCCAGTGAAAGGGGAGAGCAACATGAAAAGACAGGAAGGCCCAGTGAAAGGGGAGAGCAACATGAAAAGACAGGAAGGCCCAGTGAAAGGGGAGAGCAACATGAAAAGACAGGAAGGCCCAGTGAAAGGGGAGAGCAACATGAAAAGACAGGAAGGCCCAGTGAAAGGGGAGAGCAACATGAAAAGACAGGAAGGCCCAGTGAAAGGGGAGAGCAACATGAAAAGACAGGAAGGCCCAGTGAAAGGGGAGAGCAACATGAAAAGACAGGAAAGCCCAGTGAAAGGGGAGAGCAACATGAAAAGAACGTAGGTTACATAATCCATCAGTAGGTATGAGAAAACTACAATATGATTTAATCTACAATGGGTTGATGATGAGAGTGGAGCTATCCTAAGGGTGAGTACAGTAAGACAATGGGGTTAATAGAGGTTGTCACGGCATTAGGTCCAAACCAAACGTTGTCAGTGAGTGGATGAGATAATACTGTATGGTAAAACATTTTTTTGATGAGGTGAGAGAGGGTGGAGTGTATGAGGGTTTGGGTAAGGAGAGGAGTTCAGCTAGAAGGGCCAGACAAAATCAAATGTTGGAAATGTTTATAGAGTATTGTACAAGTGTTGCAAATCTACAATGTATCTTAAAAAGTTGCAAAACATCTAATTGTAAATAGGTCTTAAATAGTATGACAGAAGCACTATGATGAGCAGATCAAAGATTTCACTAGTCAGTGGCCTTGTAGCATCTAGTATCTACATCACTTCCCGTCCTAACGAGGAAGCTACACTAGAGTGTCACTAAAACTGTCGGTTTTTAGCTACTATACTGGATGCATAGCTTTTGCCGGCGTGAGCAGAACACTGTATCAAGTGTTCTCAGGTGTGAGCTGCACATGATAAAAAATGAATAGAACCAGAGCGTAATTTTACGCTGAGCCGCACCACTTACGCCCAGGTTTCATTGACATGAATGGGAGCGTCTCACGCTCGGCAAAAGTTATTACTCCAGTGTAGCATGCCTGTAACTCCTAGTTCCCATTCAAGAGAGTGGGCTAGAGTTCCCAAGGTGCATGATGGGATTACAGAGGTCAGATCACTTCTGAAGGGGGTTATAGTTAGGAGGAAAGCAATATTAGTGGCCGGAGTAAAAAGCCGGAGTTAGGAACAAAATCAGAATGGGTTCAGTACCTGCTTCTTTTTCAAAGACGGTACCTTAAACTGCTTGGAGGGAGGAGAGAATGAGAGGTGGAAAGAAACAGATGGAAAGGTGAGGAGGGAGTGGCTACAGCAGATCTTCATCAGAGAGGGATGTGAGGAGAGAACATTAGAAAGACACACAGATGACAACATCATCGTCTTAGAGGAGAAAAAAACATTAGGGAGACAGACATTTCTTCAAGACAGGAAATAGAGAGAGAGAGAGAGAGAGAGAGAGTGCAGAGAGAGAGAGTAGAGCGAGAGAGAGTGGAGAGGGACAGAGTGGAGAGAGTGCAGAGAGTGGAGAGAGAGAGATAGAGGAGAGAGAGTGGAGAGAGAGTGGAGAGAGTGGAGAGAGAGCAATAGAGAGAGTAGAGGGAGAGAGAGTGGATAGAAAGAGTGGAGAGAGAGAGGGAGAGAGTGGAGAGAGTGTAGTGAGAGAGATATAGAGGAGAGAGAGTGGAGAGAGAGTGGAGAGAGTGAGAGACAGAGTAGAGAGAAATAGAGTGGAGAGAGAGTAGAGAGAGTGGAGAGAGAGAGGGAGAGAGTGAGAGAGAGAGCAGAGAGAGAGAGAGTGGAGAGAGAGAGAGGGCATGCCATCATTGTGAGGATGAGAATAATGTTTTTGACGTCTCTGCAGCGTTCAGTGTTTTTTAAGACAGTTGGATGCTGAAGTAGCAGGGTCAATGTTTCTGTGTTTCTAGTTTCTGTTTGTGTGTATGTGTGTAGGGCTCTAAATGAAAAATGTTCATTGGTAGCATTGGTGCTCCCAATTTATAAAAGTTAGGCTCACCACATGAAATCTAGGAGCACCAGAAATAATATTTGTAATTGATTGAGATACAGCCTATGTTGGGCCTACAGTGGGGAGAACAAGTATTTGATACACTGCTGATTTTGCAGGTTTTCCTACTTACAAAGCATGTAGAGGTCTGTAATTTTTATCATAGGTACACTTCAACTGTGAGAGACAGAATCTAAAACAAAAATCCAGAAAATCACATTGTATGATTTTTAAGTAATTAATTTGCATTTTATTGCATGACATAAGTATTTGATACATCAGAAAAGCAGAGCATAATATTTGGTACAGAAACCTTTGTTTGCAATTACAGAGATCATACGTTTCCTGTAGGTCTTGACCAGGTTTGCACACAATGCAGCAGGGATTTTGGCCCACTCCTCCATTCAGACCTTCTCCAGATCCTTCAGGTTTCGGGGCTGTCGCTGGGCAATACAGACTTTCAGCTCCCTCCAAAGATTTTCTATTGGGTTCAGGTCTGGAGACTGGCTAGGCCACTCCAGGACCTTGAGATGCTTCTTACGGAGCCACTCCTTAGTTGCCCTGGCTGTGTGTTTCGGGTCGTTGTCATGCTGGAAGACCCAGCCACGACCCATCTTCAATGCTCTTACTGAGGGAAGGAGGTTGTTGGCCAAGATCTCGCGATACATGGCCCCATCCATCCTCCCCTCAATACGGTGCAGTCGTCCTGTCCCCTTTGCAGAAAAGCATCCCCAAAGAATGATGTTTCCACCTCCATGCTTCACGGTTGGGATGGTGTTCTTGGGGTTGTACTCATCCTTCTTCTTCCTCCAAACACGGCGAGTGGAGTTTAGACCAAAAAGCTCTATTTTTGTCTCATCAGACCACATGACCTTCTCCCATTCCTCCTCTGGATCATCCAGATGGTCATTGGCAAACTTCAGACGGGCCTGGACATGCGCTGGCTTGAGCAGGGGGACCTTGCGTGCGCTGCAGGATTTTAATCCATGACGGCGTAGTGTGTTACTAATGGTTTTCTTTGAGACTGTGGTCCCAGCTCTCTTCAGGTCATTGACCAGGTCCTGCCGTGTAGTTCTGGGCTGATCCCTCACCTTCCTCATGATCATTGATGCTCCACGAGGTGAGATCTTGCATGGAGCCCCAGACCGAGGGTGATTGACCGTCATCTTGAACTTCTTCCATTTTCTAATAATTGCGCCAACAGTTGTTGACTTCTCACCAAGCTGGTTGCCTATTGTCCTGTAGCCCATCCCAGCCTTGTGCAGGTCTACAATTTCATCCCTGATATCCTTACACAGCTCTCTGGCCATTGTGGAGAGGTTGGAGTCTGTTTGATTGAGTGTGTGGACAGGTGTCTTTTATACAGGTAACGAGTTCAAACAGGTGCAGTTAATACAGGTAATGAGTGGAGAACAGGAGGGCTTCTTAAAGAAAAACTAACAGGTCTGTGAGATCCGGAATTCTTACTGGTTGGTAGGTGATCAAATACTAATTTGCAATAAAATGCAAATTAATTACTTAAAAATCATACAATATGATTTTCTGGATTTTTGTTTTAGATTCCGTCTCTCACAGTTGAAGTGTACCTATGATAAAAATTACAGACCTCTACATGCTTTGTAAGTAGGAAAACCTGCAAAATCGGCATTGTATCAAATACTTGTTCTCCCCACTGTATATGAATTCTAGATACCTTTGAAGCATGTTGTGCCCTAGAAACTAATATGTAACGCTGTAAAGACATTAGGTTATTATAAAAGCTAAAATGTTTATACGAATAACAGTCATTGTTACAATTTGTGGAATATTAGGTTTCTACATTGTGTAAAAGCACTATTTTCCTATTGAGATGCATTAGATTGAAAATTGTACACTGTCTCTTTACAAACGTCAGATTTGTGATGACAACATGCAAGAGATCTGTAATTCATTCATTGCTATGATCAGTGATCTCCTGAAGAAGATATCCCTTTTCCTTTCTTTCTGTCCGCCAAATGTTTGGATATACTGGTAAAGTTACCAGGTTGTTAGCTAGCTAGCCAATGAGGTAACATGACTGAACAAAGTGTAAACAAGTGGTTAACGCGTGAGTAGTTTTAGAACAGCCTAGGACAAGGTTTATAAACTTAAAAAGCGGTCCCGGCGATCCGCTATAGATAAAAATGTTGCGTCGGTAATATGGGTCAGATCTTTTGACCTTGTTGAGCTAGAAGCAAACCATTTTCGCTGTAGTATTGGTGCAACCATGACCCTATCGAATCAGCTTTTTTCTCTAGGGCACTCGTAAACAACGGTACAGCGAAGCCTTATCACTACAACAATTATTATCTGGGAGATTTGTTTCCTAGTCGCACAGTGCTTTCAAAATAAAACTCCTGGTCGCACAGAAATATATTTTGTCGGATATGAGACCAAATAGGTTGCACATTAGAACCCTGTGTGTGTGTGTGTGTGTGTGTTGTGTGTGTGTGTGTGTGTTGTGTGTGTGTGTGTTGTGTGTGTGTTGTGTGTGTGTGTGTTGTGTGTTGTGTGTGTTGTGTGTGTGTGTTGTGTGTGTGGTGTGTGTGGTGTGTGTGTGTGTGTGTGTTGTATGTGTGGTGTGTGTGTGTGTGTGTGTGTGTGTGTGTGTGTGTGTGTGTGTGCGTGTGTGTGTGTGTGTGTGGGGGGGGGAGAAAGGGAGAGCGGAAGCATGTTTTTGCAATAGGGGGTGTGTTATCTCGTGAAATGAACATCTCTGTTAGAATCCCAATCAGAAGGCTCAAACAAACATATACAGTGGGGGAAAAAAGTATTTAGTCACCAATTGTGCAAGTTCTCCCACTTAAAAAGATGAGAGAGGCCTGTAATTTTCATCATAGGTACACGTCAATTATGACAGACAAATTGAGAAAAAGAAATCCAGAAAATCACATTGTAGGATTTTTAATGAATTTATTTGCAAATTATGGTGGAAAATAAGTATTTGGTTACCTACAAACAAGCAAGATTTCTGGCTCTCACAGACCTGTAACTTCTTCTTTAAGAGGCTCCTCTGTCGTCCACTCGTTACCTGTATTAATGGCACCTGTTTGAACTTGTTATCAGTATAAAAGACACCTGTCCACAACCTCAAACAGTCACACTCCAAACTCCACTATGGCCAAGACCAAAGAGCTGTCAAAGGACACCAGAAACAAAATTGTAGACCTGCACCAGGCTGGGAAGACTGAATCTGCAATAGGTAAGCAGCTTGGTTTGAAGAAATCAACTGTGGGAGCAATTATTAGGAAATGGAAGACATACAAGACCACTGATAATCTCCCTCGATCTGGGGCTCCACGCAAGATCTCACCCCGTGGGGTCAAAATGATCACAAGAACGGTGAGCAAAAATCCCAGAACCACACGGGGGGACCTAGTGAATGACCTGCAGAGAGCTGGGACCAAAGTAACAAAGCCTACCATCAGTAACACACTACGCCGCCAGGGACTCAAATCCTGCAGTGCGAGACGTGTCCCCCTGCTTAAGCCAGTACATGTCCAGGCCCGTCTGAAGTTTGCTAGAGTGCATTTGGATGATCCAGAAGAGGATTGGGAGAATGTCATATGGTCAGATGAAACCAAAATAGAACTTTTTGGTAAAAACTCAACTCGTCGTGTTTGGAGGACAAAGAATGCTGAGTTGCATCCAAAGAACACCATACCTACTGTGAAGCATGGGGGTGGAAACATCATGCTTTGGGGCTGTTTTTCTGCAAAGGGACCAGGACGACTGATCCGTGTAAAGGAAAGAATGAATGGGGCCATGTATCGTGAGATTTTGAGTGAAAACCTCCTTCCATCAGCAAGGGCATTGAAGATGAAACGTGGCTGGGTCTTTCAGCCTGACAATGATCCCAAACACACCGCCCGGGCAACAAAGGAGTGGCTTCGTAAGAAGCATTTCAAGGTCCTGGAGTGGCCTAGCCAGTCTCCAGATCTCAACCCCATAGAAAATCTTAGGAGGGAGTTGAAAGTCCGTGTTGCCCAGCGACAGCCCCAAAACATCACTGCTCTAGAGGAGATCTGCATGGAGGAATGGGCCAAAATACCAGCAACAGTGTGTGAAAACCTTGTGAAGACTTACAGAAAACGTTTGACCTGTGTCATTGCCAACAAAGGGTATATAACTAAGTATTGAGAAACTTTTGTTATTGACCAAATACTTATTTTCCACCATAATTTGCAAATAAATTCATTAAAAATCCTACAATGTGATTTTCTGGATTTTTTTCTTCTCATTTTGTCTGTCATAGTTGACGTGTACCTATGATGAAAATTACAGGCCTCTCTCATCTTTTTAAGTGGGAGAACTTGCACAATTGGTGGCTGACTAAATACTTTTTTCCCCCACTGTATAAGCTAATGACAATACTTTCTCTATCTATAACATGGTTATACATCCATTTTAGATTAACTATCTCTATGCACTACCTCGCACTAGGTCTAATACTCTAATACTTACGAGTCCACTGCTCGGATCCCAGGGATAGCCACTTTTAAGTGGGAATGGGCGTGGTGGAGGAGCATGAACAGGGAAACTGCCCACGTAATGGCGTGGCAGCTGATAAACATGATGGGGGAAATATGGCTGGAGGGAGGGGAATACCAGGAGAAAGGAAACACGTTTAACATGGGGTAAAATAAATACAACACTTAAATATGAAACCAGCGTAACAATGAGTGAGGTGCCTGATTATGAGACATTATGAGATAGAGACTGAAGCAAATTAAACAGTCACAGCATGTCAAATACACTGTAAGTATGTATGTATCTACGTACAAACAAGAGGTCACACAGTACAAACACCTCATCATGTTACAGCAGAGACTTCAACTTAAATGGGAACTATCAATAACAGGACAGCTCTGTAAATTATAAACCAGAAGTGTCCAGCAAAGTGAGAAGGGGGACGATAACATAAAAATGACTGAAAGGGTGGTGGTAAATGTAGGCAAAGGAACGTGTCGAGGTTCAAAGCCCTTTGTTTTGTTGCAGAGGCCGTCAGTGATCGCTTACCTGGCAGCATACGACTGAATGAGTTAACTGACACGATATAGACCTAGAGCCAGACGATTTACGTTTGGAGCTAGGCCCTTCTCAGTCCTATATGGAATAACAATGTTCTTGGCGACATGAGGGTGTTCTTTCTAATACACTCACCCTGTTATAGAAGGGGTGCTGGGGGCCAGCCATACCACTGTAGTTGCTGCTGTGGGGCGGTGGGGACAGCAGCCCTGGGGGGTTGAAGGGCCCGTTGAAGGAGGTGGAGGGAGGGCAGGCGGACATGCCTGACTGCTGGCTGTAGACTGAGGTGGGGCGGGGAGCGGCTTCCTGCAGGGGCAGGCTGGGATAGGTCCCTGCTCTGATGCTCATCTGCTCCCTGGCAGCCCGCACATCTGGGGGGAGAGAAGAGGGAGACAGACAGGCAAAGATACATTTGTCATTAAAGGTAGTAAAAAAATAAGTCTGGAAGAAAAGTTGGATCTGCACGTATGGACATTAAACCATATGACTTAACTGTAATGACATCCAAAAGCCAACAGTTGTACTTGCCTACATCATATCGACAAAAGGTTTTGGACTGACTGTGGAACCCTACTTATTTGACACAGACACAGCTAGCTATGCCCCCCCTGACCTGCAGCATGCACGGCTGGGGAGAGGAATGCAAACATAGATACATTGAAAGAGTTTCAATAAAAATAGTTGAAATCAGTCGTTTAACTCCGTCTAAAATATTGACATTAACCCATCTGACAAATTCGTTATACATCCCAAAATCTGCAAGTTGTTATTCAAGTTGGAAAGAGAATGGATGCATATTTCCAAAACGTATTGGAACCCTGATTATTTGGAGACACAAACACAAATATGCTCTCCCTCACCTGCAATGATCTCTCGTAGTTTGGGGTCGAGGTTGACGGTGCAGGGTAGGAAGGTTTTGATGTCGCGCGCGTTGAGGACGGGTGTACGGGAGGAGAGGAACACCTCGAAGCTACGCACGTCCCCGTCAATCTCCAACAGGGGCTCCACGTCTTTAGTGGTGGGAATGTTCTTGGAGATCCTAAAACACCAGAGATAAAAGTTCAAAAAGCCATTACAAACCCATCTTTGTAAGACTGAAGCCTAATGAAGACAGGCGAGGAAAGAGCTATAGCTCTTCCAGACTGAAAGGTTGCTTCTTTAGTTTGACATTTTTCACAGCTGACCAACAAAAACATTTAAAAACAAAAAGATATATAAAACATAAAATATATCTTTATCCAAAAACGGGGAGCTTCATGGAGTCTTTTGAATGACATAATATTGTATTTGGAGTGACAATGAAGGAAATTTAAATCATTCAGGGACAAAAACGTGAATAGAACATACGTCATGTAATTGACATTAAAATACAATAACCCAACCAATGGGACGCAATTATAATGAGGATTCAACCAATTAAACTAATCCTTATTGCCCAGTGACTAATCAGACTGTTTCATAACGTCAGAGTCTGTGTCTGTGTTCCAAATGGCACCCTGTTCCCTATATAGTGCACTACTTTTGACCAGAGCCCTAAGGGCCTTGGTCAAAAGTAGTGCACTATATAGGGAATAGTATTGGCCTTGGTCAAAGGTAGTGCACTATATAGGGAATAGTATTGGTCCTGGTCTAACGTAGTGCACTATATAGGGAATAGTATTGGTCCTGGTCTAAAGTAGTGCACTATATAGGGAATAGGGTGCCATTAAGGACACAATCATCTTCAATAACGTTCAACTGTTAGTTTTAAGACTATTAGTTTGAAGATTAGTAATTCAAAACAATCCTCTCTCAATGGATCAGTGGGAGTTGATTAAGTTAATTTATTATTTCTTCAATAATAACTTTTCCACTTGTGTCTTTTTGTGAAAATGTAGTTATTCTTTGGCCTCACATTTTCAGACAGATCCTTCAAAATTAAATAAAATCCTCTCATGCAACTAAACAGTTCCAATGTTCTATAATTAGGACAGGTGTTTTAAGAAGACCTTTTAAGGTCGGGAAAGGGGGTTAGGAACCTACATTACCTCTGGTAGATGGTCTTGAGGGTGGCACAGTTTTAGGTGGGTAGAGGGGGACTACAGTATATTACCTCTGCTAGATGGTCTTGGATGTAGTTTTACAGGGTCTCTACATTACCTCTCATAGATAGTCTTGAGGGCGGCCTGGTCAGGGATGCCGTCAGTCTCCTCTAGGAACAAGATGAGCCAGGAGGTCCTGTACGGCCACGTCTCAGTAAGGTTGATCCACGATGCCAGGCGGTCCCAGTTAAACGTAATCTGATTTGCCCTCAGCAGACGACCTATAGACAGACCAGCATTGTGTAAGTCAGACTGGACAGAACTAATGTGCATTCCTCAACTAAATCCATCCATAATCTGTACGGTCCCATTGTAAACTCAGTCAGTAAACTTGTGGTAAACAAAGCGTGTGTGTGTTAGCTTAGGATTTTCATAAATGACATCTCTAATTTAAAATGTCGATACAAGAAGGGAAGGGGTGTGTGGCGAAAACGCACTATAGGCGCATCTCTCTCCAGAATGTGCTTTGTGCGCATTCATTGTTTCATTGTGTGAATTGTTTGTTAATGTCTATTGTTTTATATATTTTGCTTGAGCATGCATAGAAGTACCTGGCCTGTGCGCAAATGTAGGCCTATAGAAGTTCCCATTTGGGCATGTCTGATAGTAGCCTATTTATGATTGTCTTAACTCACCACTTCTTATGAACTGCAGAGCTTCTCAAAGTGTTTTTTTGTCACCTCACACAGAAAGCCAACAGAGTGTTGTACATCCACTGCGAATGACAATAGTTCCTCACTGTATTAGAAAAATCTTTCCAACACTCTCCTTATCGATGGACTTAAGTAACCTCCGCGCCTCGGTGTGAAATAGCAACATATTGCTGATCCCATATCTCCAGTGGAAAGTCATAAAATAGGCTACCTGAACAGCTGTGTCTGGGAAACAGTTTGGGCCCAGTTGAAACAATGTTGCAAGTTCGCTATAACAAGAGCACAAGCCAGACAGAGAGCCGCAGACAGGCGGAGAAAGATGAATTCTATTGACTGAACCAAATGCCATGCATAGCAAATGTGATTTATTGAGGATATTTATTTTCATCAGGATATTTTCTTCTTCAAATATAATTTCAGATCTGGTTGATATTTCACATATTTTCAGACAAATTCGAGGTCCATGGCCACCGAGCGTGATCCGACACGGGATCCGAGGGTCAACAACAGAATTTTGGATCCGACCTGTTCGGATCTTGGGTAATCGGGTTCGGGTAGATCTGTGAAGACCTCTAGTGTGTGTGTGTGTCTGTGTGTGTGTGCGCGTGTGCATGAGTATATGGGCGCACGTGGTTGTGCATGTGTAGGTGTGTCCATATGTGTGTGTGTGACGCGCGAGTAAACATGGGTGTGTGTGACCCACCTGTGACAGAGACGATGTTGAGCAGCCTCCTCATGGTCTGGGGGCTGATGTCACTGAACCAGTCTTCTGTCACCAGCAGCTTGCTCAGGTCAAAGGACATCTGCCGTGTCACCGTCCTCTGCATCTGACGCCGCCGGTACGTGTCCTATGCACAGAGATACGGTTGGGTGGTATCCAGATTTTCATACCGTCATACCATTTCTGTACCATACCGGGGTATACGGTATTACCGGAACTGCACACAAGGGGCGCTGTTTTTTAAAATGTGTATAATATATACAGTACCAGTCAAAAGTTTGGAAACACCTACTCATTCAAGGGTTTTTCTTAATTTTTTACATTGTAGAATAATAGTGAAGACATCAAAACTATGAAATAACACATATGGAATCATGTAGTAACCAAAAAAGTTTTATACAAATCAAAATATATTTTATATTTGAGATTCTTCAAATAGCCACCCTTTGCCTTGATGACAACTTTGCACACTCTTGGCATTCTCTCAACCAGCTTCATGAGGTAGTCCCCTGGAATGCATTCAAATTAACAGGTGTGACTTCTTAAAAGTTCATTTGTGGAATTTCTTTCCTTCTTAAAGCGTTTGAGCAAATCAGTTGGGTTGTACACAGAAGATAGCCCTATTTGGTAAAAGACTCAGCTCAAATAAGCAAAGAGAAATTACAATCTATCATTACTTTAAGACATGAAGGTCAGTCAATACGGAACATTTCAAGAACTTTTAAAGTTTCTTTAAGTGCAGTCGCAAAAACCATCAAGCGCTATGATGAAACTGGCTCTCATGAAGACCGCCACAGGAATGAAAGACCCAGAGTTACCTCTGCTGCAGAGGTTAAGTTCATTAGAGTTACCTGCCTCAGAAAATAAATGCTTCACAGAGCAAGTCATAGACACATCTCAACATCAAATGTTCAGAGGGGACTGTGTGAATCAGGCTTTCATGGTCGAATTGCTTCAAAGAAACCACTACTAAATGACTCCAATAAGAAGAAGAGACCTGCTTGGGCCAAGAAACACGAGCAATGGACATTAGACAGGTGGAAATCTGTCCTTTGGTCTGGACTCCAAATTGGAGATCTTTGGTTCCAACCGCTGTGTCTTTGTGAGACGCGGTGTGGGTGAACGGATTATCTCTGCATGTGTAGTTCCCACCGTAAAGCATGGAGAAGGAGGTGTTATGGTGTAGGGGTGCTTTGCTGGTGACACTGTCTGTGATTTATTTAGAATTCAAGGCACACTTAACCAGCATGGCTACCACAGCATTCTGCAGCGATACGCCATCCCATCTGGTTTGGGCTTAGTGGGACTATCATTTGTTTTTCAACAGGACAATGACCCAACACACCTTCAGGCTGTGTAAGGGCTATTTTACCAAGAAGAGAGTGATGGAGTGCTGCATCAGATGACCTGGCCTCCACAATCCCCCAAACTCAACCAAATTGAGATGGTTTGGGATGAGTCGGATGGCAGAGTGAAGGAAAAGCAGCTAACAAGTGCTCAGCATATGTGGGAACTCCTTCAAGACTGTTGGAAAAGCATTCCAGGTGAAGCTGTCGAGCGAGAATTGATCACTTTAATAAAAAAAACTTCTGAAAATGACCACAAAATCTACTGTGGATTCCCATGCAGATAGTTTCTTCATGTTGCGTTTATATTTTTGTTCAGTGTATATATACACTATATATTCAAAAGTATTTGTACCCCCCTTCAAATTAGTGGATTTGGCTATTTCAGCCACACCCATTGCTGACAGGTGTATAAAATCGAGCACACAGCCATGCAATCTCCATAGACAAACATTGGCAGTAGAATGGCCTTACTGAAGAGCTCAAATCAAATCAAATTGTATTTGCCACATGTGCCGAATACAACAGGTGTAGACCTTACAGTGAAATACTTACTTACAAGCCCTTAACCAACAATGCAGTTTTAAGAAAAATAAGTGTTAAGTAAAAAATAGATGACAATGCAAATAGTCCGGGTAGCCATGATTAGCTGTTCAGGAGTCTTATGGCTTGGGGGTAGATGCTGTTAAGAAGCCTTTTGGACCTAGACTTGGCGCTCCGGTACCGCTTGCCATGCGGTAGCAGAGAGAACAGTCTGTGACTAGGGTGGCTGGAGTCTTTGACAATTTTTAGGCATTGCGCATGGTGATCTTAGGCTTGTGACTTTCAACGTGGCACCGTCATATGATGCCACCTTTCCAACAAGTCAGTTAGTAAAATGTCTGCCCTGCTAGAGCTGCCGCGGTCAATTGTAAGTGCTGTTATTGTGAAGTGGAAACGTCTAGGAGCAACAACGGCTCAGCCTCGAAGTGGTAGGTCACACAAGCTCACAGAACGGGACCGCCGAGTGCTGAAGTGCGTAAAAATCATCTGACCTCTGTTGCAACACTCACTACCGAGTTCCAAACTGCCTCTGGAAGGAACATCAGCACAATAACTGTTTGTCGGGAGCTTCATGAAATGGGTTTCCATGGCCGAGCAGCCACATGCAAGCTTAAGATCACCATGCGCAATGCCAAGCGTCGGCTGGAGTGGTGTAAAGCTAGCTGCCATTGGAGCAGTGGAAACGCGTTCTCTGGAGGGATGAATCACGCTTCACCATATGGCAGTCCGACGGATGCGTAGTGCCAACTGTAAAGTTTGGTGGAGGAGGAATAATGGTCTGGGGCTGTTTTTCATGGTTCGGGCTAGTCCCCTTAGTTCCAGTGAAGGGAAATCTTAACGCTACAGCATACAAAGTCATTCTAGACGATTCTGTGCTTCCAACTTTGTGGCAATAGTTTGGGGAAGGCCCTTTCCTGTTTCAGCATGACAATGCCCCGGGGCACAAAGCGAAGTCCATACAGAAATGGTTTGTCGAGATCAGTGTGGAAGAACTTGACTGGCCTGCACAGAGCCCTGACCTCAACCCCATCGAACACCTTTGGGATGAATTGGAATGTCGCTTGCGAGCCAGGCCTAATCGCCCAACATCAGTGCCCGACCTCACAAATGCTCTTGTGGCTGAATGGAAGCAAGTCCCCGCAGCAATGTTCCAACATCTAGTGGAAAGCCTTCCCAGAAGAGTGGAGGCTATTATAGCAGCAAAGTGGGGACCAACTCCATATTAATGCCCATGATTTTGGAAGGAGATGTTTGACGAGCAGGTGTCCACATACTATTGGTCATTTAGAGAAAATGGGAAAATAACAGAAAAAGTTGATAAATTGGGTCTGAGATTTGGTACAGCTCCTTGAGTACACAACACCTGGGGTCTCATTAGAATAAGAGGGGCTTGGGGGGTAAGGTTAAAGGAGCAATCTGCAGTTATTTAACAAAGCAGTGACCCCGCTACTGTTTTGGTAAAAAGCTGAGGGATAGGGCTGGAGAAATGTAACCACTCTCAAATGCATAGACAGAGCTATGGATGCAAGGACTGACCATCCATGATATCAAAATTATAGTTTTAACCATGATTTGAGGCTATACAGAGTTTGTTTCCATTTACGTTGTTTACAAACATTGGCATAAAAAAAACGCTTTTGGGTTATTTTGGGTCCTGATGGGGTACGACAGTTGAACTAAGCTCATGAGGCATTTCTAAGTTATATTCTTTAAGAATCAATGGGTACATATCATTAAATTATTTCGTTCCAAAATTGATGCAGCAACTGCAGATGGCCCCTTTAAGGTTAGGGTAGGTTACAGGTGGAGTGTTGGCAGTAGACGGGTGGAAGTAGCCTGATCGCTGTGTTCACCATTCTGTTTTACTGCGCGTATCAGTCTGGCCTTTCTCCAATAGCTGAGCAGACATAGCATAGGGTCAAACAGTCTCAATGTTGAGGAATGCCAGACTGATGAGTGAAGTGGAATAGAATGGTGAACGCAGCAATCAGGCTGGTTCCACTCACACTAAACTCACACTAAACTGCACATCATGTGGCTTGGTGGGGGAGAAACGACAGTAGATTGGATTAAGCCTCATTGGATTAAAGTCACAGTGAGCACATTAGCTGGACAGTCACACTGGGGTCTAAAAACACAATTGAGTCAAAAGCTCCTAATACTCAGAAGTTGTAGTTATTCCCTATTGCGTATTTCCAGCTATTGGCTTGTTACTGGCTGCATTCCAAATGGCGCCCTATTTACTTTATAGTGCAGTACTTTTGACCAGAAAAAAAAACCCTGTGCACTATAAAGGGAATGGATCAAAGCACCTGCATATGACAGCCTGTTAATGTGTAGAAGTGTGGTTATTATATTGATTTAATGATGACACCTCTGAAGTCCTTTGACGATACTGTTGGTGACGGGCGGTGTTGACCCATATGCCTGTACTCTTTGGGAACCAACCAGATTGGGGTCAAGCACCAGGCCACACACTCACACTCACACTCACACACATACACATACATACTCACACTCACACACTCACACACTCACACACACACTCTTCTCTCTCTTACCCTGCGGTTCAGGGTTGTCTTGCTGCCAAACTTGGTCATCTCTCCGATGCTGTGCTGGGATAGCTTCCTGTCCAGCTCCTCATGCCAGCCTGAACACAGAGACCAACAAAGACAGGAGATGAGAAACCAGAGCTAATATTAGCCAATGATTTGACACATTCAGTTAAGTGTGTGCCGGTGTACATGCATATATCTGAATGCGAAGGTGGATGTGAGTGTGTTCATTTGTGTGTGTGTATGCCTGAATGTGTGTGTTCATGTGTGTACATGCCCATGTGTTTGTGTGTGTGTGTGGTCTCAGATTTTTACGTCTCCTTTCATACAGGGCGCGTGTGTGTGTGTGTGTGAGAGTCCGTCTTTACCGTCTGAGTGGTATGGATTACCGTCTGAGTGGTATGGATTACCGTCTGAGTGGTATGGATTACCGTCTGAGTGGTATGGATTGCCGTCTGAGTGGTATGGATTACCGTCTGAGTGGTATGGATTACCGTCTGAGTGGTATGGATTACCGTCTGAGTGGTATGGATTACCGTCTGAGTGGTATGGATTACCGTCTGAGTGGTATGGACTAACCGTCTGAGTGGTATGGACTACCGTCTGAGTGGTATGGATTACCGTCTGAGTGGTATGGATTACCGTCTGAGTGGTATGGATTACCGTCTGAGTGGTATGGATTACCGTCTGAGTGGTATGGATTACCGTCTGAGTGGTATGGATTACCGTCTGAGTGGTATGCATTACCGCCTGAGTGGTATGGAATTACCGTCTGAGGGTATGGACTCCGTCTGGTGGTATGGATTACCGTTCTGGGTGGTATGGATTACCGTTGAGTGGATATGCATTACCGTCCTGAGTGGTATGGATTACCGTCCTGAGTGGTATGGATTACCGTCTGAGTGGTATGGATTACCGTCTGAGTGGTATGGATTACCGTCTGAGTGGTATGGATTACCGTCTGAGTGGTATGGATTACCGTCTGAGTGGTATGGATTACCGTCTGAGTGGTATGGTTACCGTCTAGATGGTATGGATTACCGTCTGCGTGGGTTGGATTATACCCGTCTGATGGTATTGATACCGTCTTAGTTTCCGGTGTCCTCCGTTAGCCAGGCGCTGCTACACACATCTTTTTCTGTTTTCTTTTCTGGCGCTGCTCAGACCCCCGGCTGTTGAGGAAGACGGGCAGTGGCGATGTTTCTCATTGTCCATGCCGTTGATGTGTTGGGTCCCCTGAGCAAGCTGTTCAGGTTTCTGGTTGATGGCCTTGATGATGAGTGGGGGTCTGCTGGCGAAGATGGAGAGGAAAGGGCCTTTGGAGAAGAGCACTCTCACCTGGTGGAGAGGAGAAGAACAGGGTACATATTTTATTTTATTTTTACCTTTATTTAACCAGGAAAAGCCCATTGAGACCCAGAGTCTCTTTTTCAAAGGAGACCTGGCCCGGAAGGCATGCAACAATCAATACATTACAGAATAAAACATACAATCCAATACACGCACAACACTGATCCCAGCCTAAAAAAAGCATTTACACTCCTCTGTAACAGAGTCTCCCATCAACATTTTAAATTCATTCCGTGGCACTAACATATCTAGATGAAGCATGGGTTGTAGACTATTCCATGCCCCTGGTGCACAAGACGAGAAGGCAGTCTTGCCTAATACTGTAAATGTCCTGAGGACTTTAAGTAGCAACCACCTAGCAGACCGGGTCTGGTAACCGCTGGTGGTGAAGGAGACCAGACTACAGTAGCAACCACCTAGCAGACCGGGTCTGGTAACCGCTGGTGGTGAAGGAGACCAGACTACAGTAGCAACCACCTAGCAGACCGGGTCTGGTAACCGCTGGTGGTGAAGGAGACCAGACTACAGTAGCAACCACCTAGCCAGACCGGGGTCTGGTAACCGCTGGTGGTGAAGGAGACCAGACTACAGTAGCAACCACCTAGCAGACCGGGTCTGGTAACCGCTGGTGGTGAAGGAGACCAGACTACAGTAGCAACCACCTAGCAGACCGGGTCTGGTAACCGCTGGTGGTGAAGGAGACCAGACTACAGTAGCAACCACCTAGCAGACCGGGGTCTGGTAAACCGCTGGTGGTGAAGGAGACCAGACTACAGTAGCAACCACCTAGCAGACCGGGTCTGGTAACCGCTGGTGGTGAAGGAGACCAGACTACAGTAGCAACCACCTAGCAGACCGGGTCTGGTAACCGCTGGTGGTGAAGGAGACCAGACTACAGTAGCAACCACCTAGCAGACCGGGTCTGGTAACCGCTGGTGGTGAAGGAGACCAGACTACAGTAGCAACCACCTAGCAGACCAGGTATGGTAACCGCTGGTGGTGAAGGAGACCAGACTACAGTAGCAACCACTAGCAGACCGGGTCTGGTAACCGCTGGTGGTGAAGGAGACCAGATACAGTAGCAACCACCTAGCAGACCGGGTCTGGTAACCGCTGGTGGTGAAGGAGACCAGACTACAGTAGCAACCACCTAGCAGACCGGGTCTGGTAACCGCTGGTGGTGAAGGAGACCAGACTACAGTAGCAACCACCTAGCAGACCGGGTCTGGTAACCGCTGGTGGTGAAGGAGACCAGACTACAGAGGTAAAGAGGGAGTTTACCAAAAATGACTTTGTAGATGAACACATACAAATGTAGCTTTCTGCGCATATAAAGTGAGGTCCAACCCACCATTTGGTACAAGGTGCAATGGTGGGTGAGTGACTTGGCATTTGTAATAAAGCACAAGGATGCATGATAAACAGTGTCCAGTCCCTGTAAGACAGAGGAGGCTGCATGCGAATACAACAAGTCACCATAATCAATTACAGAGAGAACAAGCTTCTTTCTAGCCATAAGCGGGAAGCAAGCCTTATTACGAGAAAAAATAAAATATATATTTTTTAAGCTTCCTCACAAGATTATCCATAAACTTTAAAGGACAACTTGCCATCCAACCATATACCTAGGTATTTGTAGGATGACACTTTTTCAATGGATAAGCCACCAGATGTGACAATGCTAACCTTCTCTGGCTGAGTGGGAGCTCTGGTAAAGGTCATGAATTTTGTTTTTTTGTACATTCAAGACCAGTTTGAGACCATAAAGGGAGGTCTGCAGTGACTGAAAAGCAGTCTGGAGCTCTTTCAACAGCCTGAACGAAGAAGGAGTACATGAATATATGACTGTATTATCTGCATATAGATGCAACTTTGCTGGTTGCGTCCCATTTCCCAAATCATTAATAAAAATTCAGAACAACACAGGAGCTAAAATGGAACCCTGGGGCACACCTCTATTAATTTCAAGAAAGCTGACTTTTCTGTCAGAAAGATAGTTCCTAAAATAATTTACTGCCCCTTCACTGAGACCAATGTTACTGAGTCTAGCTAGCAACAATTCATGGTCAACTGAATCAAATGCCTTTGATAAATCAACAAACAGAACAGCACAATGTTGCTTTTTATCAAGTGCATTTATGATGTCATTTGCCACTGACATAGCTGCATTTTTGGTGCTGTGCCCTGATCTAAAGCCAGACTGAAGCCTGCTTAGTATGTTCTGGTGAGGTGAGTGGGAAACAAAGATGTGTGTGTGTGTGTGTGTGTGGTGGATACAGCATATTCGTTTGTTCTAAAACTCTTTCCGCTACAGCTCACAGTCAGCTAATAACTCCATTATCCCAATGTGCAAAAGACCTTGAAATATTAGATTTTGTGACTGCTATCAAATGTCTAGAAGAATTGCTCTAAACGTATGAGGGATGGTGCTTATTATTACAAAGACATCATGCATAAAAGATCCATTATTTCCTCAGACCAAAGATGTAATTAGTAAACAAGAAACAGCTGGTTCAGATGACCATGCCCCTCAAATACTAGATTAAAGACAATTATATTACTGTAAATAATAAGAAAAACCATGACAGCTTCTGGAATCTTTGTGACTGATGTATAACTACGTACTGTATAACTAGGTCATCTTTGCTCTCTTGGGAAAGATCGTCTTCGGAAATTTGCAACACAAAGTGTGAGACGGTCCAAACAGTTGGTCAAAACCATTACGTTCCTGTTCAGAGTGATACTGTATACCCTATCACCCTGTGACTGTGTGTGTGTGTGTGTGTGTGTTCATTTGTGTGTGTATGTGCCCGCGTGCTGCATGTGTGTGTGTGTGTGTGTTTGTGTCTTACCGTATCCAGCATCTGCAGTACTTTGTCCTGTTCACAGGAGTCCAGACCGTCTATGATGACAGCCAGACGAGTCTGGTTCTGAGTGAAGCCATCGATGGTCTTAGCCATCCTCGCCATCAGCTCCACCTCATTCTTCAACACCTGAGGAGGGAGGAGAGAGAGAGAGAGAGAGAGAGAGAGAGAGAGAGAGAGAGAGAGAGAGAGAGAGAGAGAGGAGGATGTGTGAGAAAGGCCATACCAGCCTTACAAGCCAGTGATATGGTGAGAGGAGGAATCAAACATCAAACAGCTGTATGTGTGTGTGTGTGTGTGTGTGTGTGTGTGTATGTGTTTCCAAGTGATTGCGCGCATATATACGACTCGCCTTCCATCCCTACCTTCATGAAGCCCTCGCTCTTGAGCTTGTGCATCTTGTTGGCGGCGCTGTGCAGCCTCTTCCTCTGAGAGTTGAGCACCGAGTCGGCCACCTGCCACCAGGTCCGGCAGTTGAGCACCAGTGCCAGGCCCACCGCGCTGGCCATGGCGATCAGCACGGCATTCACCGTCTGGTTGGCCCCATCCACCTTGAAGACGGCGAGGAGTGCCATGCCAGTGATCAGGCAGCCCAGGATGAAGACGAAGATGACGAAGGAGGGAATGCAGCAAGTCTTCTTCCACTTCTTCTTCCCTAAAATACAATATGTTTTTAAAGTACACAGTAGGCATAAAAACATTTGGAAGCAGGAGGCAGGCTACTAACTAAACTTGTGTAATAACAATATTTATTCCCATTGCCCTTTGTTCCTAGTTCTTATTGAAAACCACCCGAGTATCTGGTTTATGTATTTATGAATGTAATGACCGACAGTGATTTAAAGTCAAACACATTTGCCCAAGGGGATTCAATCAAGAAAACTGACCTGACTAATTTGTCCTCCTCTGGTCATTACCTAGTGATTCCTCTGGTCATTACCTAGTGATTCCTCTGGTCATTACCTAGTGATTCCTCTGGTCATTACCTAGTGATTCCTGTCCACCTAGTGATTCCTCTGGTCATTACACTAGTGATTCCTCTGGTCATCACTAGTGATTCCTCTGGTCATTACCTAGTGATTCCTCTGGTCATTACCTAGTGATTCCTCTGGTCATTACCTAGTGATTCCTCTGGTCATTACCTAATGATTCCTCTGGTCATTACCTTGTGATTCTTCTGGTCATTACCTAGTGATTCCTCTGGTCATTACTTAGTGATTCCTCTGGTCATTACCTAGTGATTCCTCTGGTCATCACCCAGTGATTCCTCTGGTCATTACCTAGTGATTCCTCTGGTCATCACCCAGTGATTCCTCTGTTCATCACCTAGTGATTCCTCTGGTCATCACCTAGTGATTCCTCTGGTCATCACCTAGTGATTCCTCTGGTCATTACCTAGTGATTCCTCTGGTCATTACCTAATGATTCCTCTGGTCATTACCTAGTGATTCCTCTGGTCATTACCTAGTGATTCCTCTGGTCATTACCTAGTGATTCCTCTGGTCATTACCTAATGTTTCCTCTGGTCATTACCTAGTGATTCCTCTGGTCATTACCTAATGATTCCTCTGGTCATTACCTAGTGATTCCTGTGGTCATTACCTAGTGATTCTTCTGGTCATTGGTTACCTTGTGATTCCTCTGTCTTGAAGACCCTGAAGAGGCGGGTGGCCATGAAGCCAAACTCCCTCTCACAGGCATCAGACAGCGTGGCTATCATCTCTGCCAGGCTGGTCTCCCCTCCCACACTGGACAGACGGTTGTAGTCCGTGAACAGGAACCTGCAGGGCAGCAACAGTAAAGGGAAGGGGTGGATATTAAATAATCGGTCAAACACAAACTACAACTTATCTTTATATGGCATTCCTAAAGTCTCCATAAGCACTACATAAATAATTCACAAATAATTGATAAACCAAGTCATACTATATTTAGTGTCATTACACCCAGGACTTTGCCAAATGTGGCATTTGATTGTAGTGTAGATTCCTGGCATTGCCGAGAAGTGTTTGGTAGTGATTGTTTTGCAGGGGGGGTGTATCTGACGGGCAGGACACAGGTGGTGTGTGTGTGCGTGCATGCTTGCGTGTGAGTGAGTGTGGTCACATGTGTATGTGTGCGTGTGTGTACCTGACGGGCAGGGCACGGGTGGTCTGCTCTGGCAGGTCAGGGGGGTTGACAAACATCAGTTTGAGTAGCAGCTCCAGGTAGCCAATGTGTTGGGCCAAACGGGTACTGATCACCCAAGCCCAGTTCCAGTTCTCACCCTCACGACGACTGCCGAAGTACACCACCACTACACAGAGAGGGATACAATTATCTCCTAACTGGATCATTAACAGCCACCACCACTACAAACAAAGGAAGACAGACAGAGTTGCTGTGTCAAACTCTTACTGTGTCATTGAAAGTGTTTGGAAAAGACAGAGAGACAGACAGTTAGAATGATCTCTTAACTGGATCATTAACAGTGTTTGGTAAACCAGTCAGTATAGTGCATAGGCTATGTGTGTTAATATACTGTTTATTCAAGCATTAAGTCCAGTCAAAAGTATTAATAATTTTTCTCAGCTCTCTGCTATCAATAACTACAGTGTTACCAGCTCTTACAATGTTGTTACTGGTATAACACCTCCCTCTAGTGTGTCACTTGAAAATAACTTCTCATCTGCAGCATAGGCTACTAGACTATGGGATCCTTGGGAAACCCTAACCTTAACCCCTACCCTAACCTTAACCTTAACCATAACCCTTACCTAACCTTAGCCCTTACCTTTGCTTAACCATTTTACATTTCAACGTCAAATGGGGTAGGGAAGTCCCAAAGTCCCAAAGATCACAGATAGCACTACTAGACTACTGGACCATAGAAAATGGAGGACAGAGTGATGGTCTCACCGAAACAGACATAGAGCAGCGCCAGCAGGCTGAGGGAGACAGCGATGGCCAGCTTGGGGTCGACGGTGAAGCCCAGGACCAGAGCTACAGAACCACACAGCAGCAGGGACATGAACACCACCAGCCAGGAGAACTGGAACAACGGCTCCACCTGCTGGCCAGCAAACGTCTTCATCTCATCTGAAGAGAGGGAGGAGATGGAAGGAGGATAAAGGAGGAGTGAGATACTTAGGAGACGGTAGGTTCAATCAAGTATCTCATAAAATAATCTGTTAATATTAAGGCCAGGCACCACAGGCAAAAATTAAATTTTATTCCATTAATATTAGTTTTTTCAAAAAGTTAAAAAAACAATGTCAAAAAGTTGATGAAAATGTATATTTTCGTTAGTTTATCATATTAACGTCATAAAATTTCATGACATACATCCATAATTTCAAAGCACTACATTGAATCACACATTATTTAAAAGCCCATTTCATGGAGAATGTAACAAACAGGACTATATGTAGTAACTTACTTTGAAGAGATCTAAATAGCTGTTTGGTATTTGGAAGTCTAAATTCAGTGTACTTGTCTTTAACTGCCATTTCCCGGAAATCAGACCCACACGCCAACTCATCTTTCTCAGCCTCAGAAGCATGTTGCATGGTTATCCTTAAACTTATTCTTCAGACTTATACATAGGGAATTGTTGATATGTTGTCAAATTTTTATTATATATGAAAATCTGCCAAAAATGAATTTTACGTACCTTTCTTTAGTATTTTACAGATATAAAGAAGTATTTATCCACAATATGCTATGTATAAGTCCGGTCCTGGAGTGTCTTAACAAATTGTAACAATTTTAAATTAGGCTGACTTCATCCAGTGTCCAGAAAAATTGATTTGTGTGATATGCAAATATGCACATTTAATGAGATATCACCTAATTTGTATATTTGTATACAATATTTCAAAAAAATTGTAATATAAAAAAAACTTATATCTGTGTGTTGTTTGCATTGCTGGTGAAGTTTGGTTGTATTATTGCATTGTTAAAGTACAGAATGTAACGTACATGTATGTATCTAGTCTTGTGATTGTGTTGGAGAACGTTTTGTTCTCCAACACAAAAACATTTTACCCTATTAGGGTGAGGTGCCTGGCCTTAACAGCTATCTTATTATTAACATGTATAACATATTTTTAACATACAGTGGGGAAAAAAAGTATTTAGTCAGCCACCAATTGTGCAAGTTCTCCCACTTAAAAAGATGAGAGAGGCCTGTAATTTTCATCATAGGTACACGTCAACTATGACAGACAAAATGAGATTTTTTCTCCAGAAAATCATATTGTAGGATTTTTTATGAATGTATTTGCAAATTATGGTGGAAAATAAGTATTTGGTCAATAACAGAAGTTTCTCAATACTTTGTTATATACCCTTTGTTGGCAATGACACAGGTCAAACATTTTCTGTAAGTCTTCACAAGGTTTTCACACACTGTTGCTGGTATTTTGGCCCATTCCTCCATGCAGATCTCCTCTAGAGCAGTGATGTTTTGGGGCTGTCGCTGTGCAACACGGACTTTCAACTCCCTCCAAAGATTTTCTATGGGGTTGAGATCTGGAGACGGGCTAGGCCACTCCAGGACCTTGAAATGCTTCTTACGAAGCCACTCCTTCGTTGCCCGGGCGGTGTGTTTGGGATCATTGTCATGCTGAAAGACCCAGCCACGTTTCATCTTCAATGCCCTTGCTGATGGAAGGAGGTTTTCACTCAAAATCTCACGATACATGGCCCCATTCATTCTTTTCTTTACACGGATCAGTCGTCCTGGTCCCTTTGCAGAAAAACAGCCCCAAAGCATGATGTTTCCACCCCCATGCTTCACAGTAGGTATGGTGTTATTTGGATGCAAACACGACGAGTTGAGTTTTTACCAAAAAGTTCTATTTTGGTTTCATCTGACCATATGACATTCTCCCAATCCTCTTCTGGATCATCCAAATGCACTCTAGCAAACTTCAGACGGGCCTGGACATGTACTGGCTTAAGCAGGGGGACACGTCTGGCACTGCAGGATTTGAGTCCCTGGCGGCGTAGTGTGTTACTGATGGTAGGCTTTGTTACTTTGGTCCCAGCTCTCTGCAGGTCATTCACTAGGTCCCCCCGTGTGTTTCTGGGATTTTTGCTCACCGTTCTTGTGATCATTTTGACCCCACGTGGTGAGATCTTGCGCCCCAGATCGAGGGAGATTATCAGTGGTCTTGTATGTCTTCCATTTCCTAATAATTGCTCCCACAGTTGATTTCTTCAAACCAAGCTGCTTACCTATTGCAGATTCAGTCTTCCCAGCCTGGTGCAGGTCTACAATTTTGTTTCTGGTGTCCTTTGACAGCTCTTTGGTCTTGGCCATAGTGGAGTTTGGAGTGTGACTGTTTGAGGTTGTGGACAGGTGTCTTTTATACTGATAACAAGTTCAAACAGGTGCCATTAATACAGGTAACGAGTGGAGGACAGAGGAGCCTCTTAAAGAAGAAGTTACAGGTCTGTGAGAGCCAGAAATCTTGCTTGTTTGTAGGTGACCAAATAATTATTTTCCACCATAATTTGCAAATAAATTCATTAAAAATCCTACAATGTGATTTTCTGGAAAAAAAATTCTCAATTTGTCTGTCATAGTTGACGTGTACCTATGATGAAAATTACAGGCCTCTCTCATCTTTTTAAGTGGGAAAACTTGCACAATTGGTGGCTGACTAAATCCTTTTTTCCCCCACTGTATCATTATTTTTATGTTTGACAGTTGAGCTCTGTTCTATTTGAGCAGTATCATATACGCTCAGACTCCTGTATAGAAGTGAGTGAAGCCCATCTCAGTGCTAACTGTGCCACTAGAGATCCTGGTTCGAGTCCAGGCTCTGTCGCAGCCGGCCGCGACCGGGAGACCCATGGGTGGCGCACAATTGGCCCAGCGTCGTCCAGGGTAGGGGAGGGTTTGGCCGGCAGGGATGTTCTTGTCCCATCGCACACTAGCGACTCCTGTGGCGGGCCGGGCGCAGTGCACGCTGACTCGGTCGCCAGGTGTACAGTGTTTCCTCCGACACATTGGTGCGGCTGGCTTCCGGGTTAAGCGGGCACTGTGTCAAGAAGCAGTGCGGCTCGGTTGGGTTGTGTTTCGGAGGACGCACGACTCTCGACCTGTGTCCGTACGGGAGTTGCAGCGATGGGACAAGACTGTAACTACCACTTGGATACCACGAAATTGGGGAGAAAAAGGGGGTAAATACAAAAAAATTATATATAAAAAATTAAAAGAAGTGAGTGAAGCCTTGACAAGCAGACTGCCTAGTGCCTTACCCTCCAGTTTCTTGAGCAGGAAAGACTTGCCGCTGCCCCACTGGGCGTACAGGCCCACACAGATGGGCGGCTGCATGGTGGGCTCACTGAGAATGTCAGCCAGGGCACTGCTGTACAGGTCATAACCCAGCATGTCGCCATCGGACTCAGTAGGGGACAGATGTCCTGGGAGGGACACATAGAAAGATAGGATGAGGTTAGTCAACACAGTTCGAGATGGAGAACATTTAATTTGTGTGTACCAATTTTTTTTCAATTTCTATACATCTTGTACACACTATCGTCCACCACAAAGGTTATACCAGTTAGACTATTAAAGGAAAACTCCACCCAAAAACTATCTTTTGAAATTTGTTTCATTAGTCCATTGTTGACATAGTCCCAAAATGTTTTGCTTGTCAGCAATCAAGTTTTCAAGATATGTAACTTTCAAAATAATGAAATCATCCCCGTATGATGCATTTTTCAAGATACACTACCGGTCAAAGGTTTTAGAACACCTACTCATTCAAGGGTTTTTCCTTATTTTTTAAAACTATTTTCTACATTGTAGAATAATAGTGAAGACATCAAAACTATGAAATAACACATATGGAATCATGTAGCAACCAAAAAGTGTTAAACAAATCAAATATATTTTATAATTGAGATTCTTCAAATAGCCACCCTTTGCCTTGATGACAGCTTTGCACACTCTTGGCATTCTCTCAACCAGCTTCATGAGGTAGTCACCTGGAATGCATTTCAATTAACAGGTGTGCCTTGTTAAACGTTAATTTGTGGAATTTCTTTCCTTCTTAATGCATTTGAGCCAATCAGTTGTGTTGTGACAAGGTAGGGGGGATATACAGAAGATAGCCCTATTGGTAAAAGACCAAGTCCATATTATGGCAAGAACAGCTCAAATAAGCAAAGAGAAACGACAGTCCATCATTACTTTAAGACATGAAGGTCAGTCAATACGGAACATTTCAAGAACTTTGAAAGTTTCTTCAAGTGCAGTCGCAATAACCATCAAGCGCTATGATGAAACTGGCTCTCATGAGGACCGCCACAGGAATGTAAGACCCAGAGTTACCTCTGCTGTGGAGGATAAGTTCATTAGAGTTACCAGCCTCAGAAATTGCAGCCCAAATAAATGCTTCACAGAGTTCAAGTAACAGACACATTTCGACATCAACTGTTCAGAGGAGACTGTGTGAATCAGGCCTTCATGGTCGAATTGCTGCAAAGAAACCACTACTAAAGGACATCAATAAGAAGAAGAGACTTGCTTGGGCCAAGAAACATGAACAATGGACGTTAGACCGGTGGAAATGTGTCCTTTGGTCTGGAGTCCAAATTGGAGATTTTTGGTTCCAACGGATGATCTCCGCATGTCTATTTCCCACCATAAAGCATGGAGGAGGAGGTGTTATGGTGTGGGGGTGCTTTGCTGGTGACACTGTCTGTGATTTATGTAGAATTCAAGGCACACTTAACCAGCATGGCTTCCACAGCATTCTGCAGCAATACGCCATCCCATCTGGTTTGGGCTTAGTGGGACTATCATTTGTTTTTCAACAGGACAATGACCCAACACACCTCCAGGCTGTGTAAGGGCTATTTTACCAAGAAGGAGAGTGATGGAGTGCTGCATCAGATGACCTGGCCTCCACAATTCCCTGACCTCAACCAAATTGAGATGGTTTAGGATGAGTCGGACCGCAGAGTGAAGGAAAAGCAGCCAACAAGTGCTCAGCATATGTGGGAACTCCTTCAAGACTGTTGGAAAGGCATTCCAGGTGAAGCTGGTTGAGAGAATGCAAAGAGTGTGCAAAGCTGTCATCAAGGCAAAGGGTGGCTATTTGAAGAATCTCAAATATAAAGTATATTTTGATTTGTTGAACACTTTTTTGGTTACTACATGATTCCATATGTGTTATTTCATAGTTTTGATGTCTTCACTATTATTCTACAATGTAGAAAATAGTAAAAATAAAGAAAAACCCTTGAATGAGTAGGTGTTCTAAAACTTTTGACCTGCAGTGTATGTAACTTTCAAAATACAGAAATCTGTATTTTGAAAGTTACATATCTTGAAAAATGCATAATAAGGGGATGATTTCTTTATTTTGAAAGTTACATATTTTGAAAACATGATTGCTGACAATCAAAACATTTTGGGACTATGTCAATTGACTAATGAAACAAATCGTTTTTGGGTGGAATTTTCCTTTAATTTAACTGGCGAAAGTGACTGAGCTGCCAGAGAGTAAGGAAACTTACGGGCTCCAAAGATCTGGGTGAGGATGCTCTTCTGGTGGCTGCAGTCGATGTTGTAGGGTGTCTCGCCAGCCTTGTTGGGCCGGTAGAGCAGGCGGCCATCTTTAGGGTTACGAAGGAGGAGCTCCGCCAGTCTCCGGCTCCGCCCACGGATGGCAATGTGGAGGGGGGTGTCACCTCTCTAGAGAGACACGGTTGGTATCAGATAGTATACCTACTGACTCTTTTGCCTTTCACAGCTTACGTATATATGTCATGTACAGTGTATAAACAGTGGGGAATTATTGGAGTATATTACAGTGCCTTGCAAAAGTATTCATCCCCCTTGGCGTCTTTCCTATTTTGTTGCATTACAACCTGTAATTTAAATGGATTTTTGGGGGGATTTCATGTAATGGACATACACAAATAGACAAAAAAATTATTTGTTTCAAAAAATTCTAAAAAATAAATTACGGAAAAGTGGTGCGTGCATATGTATTTACCCTCTTTGCTATGAAGCCCCTAAATAAGATCTGGTGCAACCAATTACCTTCAGAAGTCACATAATTAGTTAAATAAAGTCCACCTGTGTGCAATCTAAGTGTCACATGATCTGTCACATGATCTCAGTATATATACACCTGTTCTGAAAGGCCCCAGAGTCTGCAACACCACTAAGCAAGGGGCACCAACAAGCAAGCGGCACCATGTAGACCAAGGAGCTCTCCAAACAGGTCAGGGACAACGTTGTGGAGAAGTACAGGGTTATAAAAGAATATCAGAAACTTTGAACATCCCACGGAGCACCATTAAATCTATTATTAAAAAATGGAAAGAATATGGCACCACAACAAACCTGCCAAGAGAGGGCCGCCCACCAATACTCACGGACACGTTTGGTGTTCGCCAAAAGCCATGTGGAAGACTCCCCAAACATATGGAAGAAGGTACTCTGGTCAGATGAGACTACAATTGAGCTTTTTGGCCATCAAGGAAAATGCTATGTCTGGCGCAAACCCAACACCTCTCATCACCCCGAGAACACCATCCCCACAGTGAAGCATGGTGGTGGCAGCATCATGCTGTGGGGATGTTTTTCATCGGCAGGGACTGGGAAACTGGTCAGAATTGAAGGAATGATGGATGGCGCTAAATACAGGGAAATTCTTGACAGAAACCTGTTTCAGTCTTCCAGAGATTTGAGACTGGGACGGAGGTTCACCTTCCAGCAGGACAATGACCCTAAGCATACTGCTAAAGCAACACTTGAGTGGTTTAAGGGGAAACATTGAAATGTCTTGGAATGGCCTAGTCAATGCCCAGACCTCAATCCAATTGAGAATCTGTGGTATGACTTAAATATTGCTGTACACCAGGGGAACCCATCCAACTTGAAGGAGCTGGAGCAGTTTTGCCTTGAAGAATGGGCAAAAATCCCAGTGGCTAGATGTGCCAAGCTTATAGAGACATACCCCAAGAGACTTGCAGCTGTAACTGCTGCAAAAGGTGTCTCTACAAAGTATTGACTTTGGGGGGGGTGAATAGTTATGCACGCTCAAGTTCTGTTTTTTTGTCTTATTTCTTGTTTGTTTCACACACAAAAATATTTTGCATCTTCAAAGTGGTAGGCATGTTGTGTAAATCAAATTATACAAACCCCCCCAAAAATTCCATTTTAATTCCAGGTTGTAAGGCAACAAAATAGGAAAAATGCCAGGGGGTGAATACTTTCGCAAGCCACTGTATGTGCTCCAAAAAACGGAAACATTTAATTATTTTATACTAATACAATTGCTCAGAGAAATTATGTTTAACAAGTAATACAAATAAATATTTTAAAAAAAGATATAGGACCCATGTTTTCAATAATCTAGCACCCTCCCCTTGCAATGGTTAACGACACTGAGCCTTTTTCTAAAATGTTTTATGAGATTGGCGAACACGTTGGGAGGGATCTTAGACCATTCCTCCATACAGAATCTTTCCAGATCCTTGATATACTTTGTCTGCTCATATGGACTGCCCTCTTCAATTCAAACCGCAAGTTTTCAATGGGGATCAAGTCCAGTGAATTGCCATTGAAAAATGTAGATTTTGTGGTCAATTAACAATTTCTTTGTGGATTTTGATTAGTCCTTGGGATTATTGTCTTGCCGGAAGATCCACTTGCGTCCTGCCAGAGGCAACCAGGTTTTGGCTAAAATGTCCTGGTACTTGGTAAAGTTCATGATGCCATTATTATTATTATTTTTTTGTCATTTAGCAGACACTCTTATCCAGAGCGACTTACAGTTAGTGAGTGCATACATTTTCATACTGGCCCCCCGTGGCCATTGACCTTAACAAGGGCCCCAGGACCAGTGAAAGCAAAATAGCCGCATAACATCAAAGATCCACCACCATATTTTACTGTAGGTATGAGATACTTTTCTGCATATGCTTCTGTCCAAGTGGCCAAAGAGCTGTATTTTCATGTCATCTGACCATAGCACCGCCTGGAGTTTGATAAACCGCATTGGCACTTGGATTGGAACTGGTGCTATGTCAGATGACATGAAAATAGAGCTCTGGAAATATGCTGTATAGAGCAATGGTCTAAGATCCCTCCCAATGTGTTGCCTAATCTCATAAAACATTTTAGAAAAATGCTCAGTGTCATTATCCTCACAAGGGGAGGGTGCTAGAATATTGAAACCAGGGGTACCAATAATTTTTACCCCTCTCTTTTTTTAAATGATTAGTTGAGCAATTGTATTAGTATAAAATAATATACTTTCATAAACAAAAATGTGCATGCAATATAGCTCAGTCTTTGTGTTATTTCTTTGATACACTTTTTTGCTCATCTTTATCAAACGGTGCCAATAATTATGGACCCGACTGTATATGCCATGTACAATGTATATACATTGTCCCCTGTAGCTCAGTTGGTAGAGCATGGCGCTTGCAACGCCAGGGTTGTGGGTTCGTTTCCCACGGGGGGCCAGTATGAAAATGTATGCACTCACTAACTGTAAGTCTAAAATGTAAAAAAATATATACATATATACTGGGGTGAAAGTAAGGTGGTATAGTCCCGGCAAAATAAATAGTGTGGGTACGCCCTACCAGTAAAACATGAGGCTATCACAATGAATACAACATTCCCAAAAAACGATAGGTTATTACAGCATTATTTTACATTACTGCATGTCTGCCGCATGAAACATTTGCGAATTGACTGTAAACCAGGTAGTATACGCTCCAAATTGCGTAGTGGTTTGAGGAGAACACTTACATTTTGTCACACCCTGGCTCTGGGGACTCTATATTTTGAGCCAGGGTGTGTAGTTTCTATGTGTTTGTGTTTCTATGTCGTGTTCTAGTATTGTATTTCTATGTTGGCCAGTGTGGTTCTCAATCAGAGGCAACGAGTGTCAGCTGTGGCTGGTTGTCTCTGATTGGGAACCATATTTAAACCGTCTGTTTTCCCTTAGTGTTTGTGGGATCTTGTTTCCGTTTGGTTTGTTCCGTGTTTGAGTTAACCTTAGGACTGCACGTATCGTTTGTTGTTTTTGTATTATCACTAAAGATAATAAATATGTTCGTTCATCACGCTGCGCCTTGGTCTACTCCGTACTACGAGAGTCGTGACACATTTTGTCAAGGCGGAGATGAGTGGCCGAGACCGAGCGCGTAGACAAGTGGATGCATCAATTCAGGCTACAAGTGTAGGCCTAATGACAATCGCTGAATGTCATTCCAATACACGTAGGTGTTTTGTAACAGACGTCTCTTTCCATTCATCCAATTGCGGGTTGCACTGTTGGGGTTTGGATGCTGAAATGATTTTGTGAGTGAACCAATGTGCGCCGGTAGGCTACAGGAGCGCCATTGTTAAGTGATTGTCTGACAATCAGATGAAAACATCATGACTGGTTGTATTAATGGCACATTAGAAGGCGTAGGCGGCATGCCCATAAGGCTAGGGGAAGCTGTCCCTAAAGTACATTGAGTTAAATTGCCAAAATTATACAGCCTAATTAGCCTACTCCTGTATATACGGAAATAAATACAATCATTCAAAATAGGCTACCACACCAGAAAGCATGATTTGGCCAGAGGATCATTAGCTTAAAAAAAAAAACGGTGGATTGTTATAAATCGCATTGCCCGCAATTTGGGCAGTGCGCGCTGCAAATACCAAATAGATTGTTGAGTTGTGACTGTCAGTGAAAAGCAGACCCAGCCAGGCATATTGTAATATTTAAAAATACAATCGCCAAAAAACTGTTTGGAAAGCAAATGGCTATTGATGACAATGAAAAGACTCCAATTTGTCTTTTAGTTATCAATATTCTTAACTTAATTGAGCAAACAATTGCCCATCTTATTGGCACCAGAGGAGAACATCGGCCATATCCCCGGTGAGTCAGCAGAGTAGGCTACCCTGTAATTTTTGTATTAGGCCTATATAAAAAAAATTGTGTGCGTGCACTTAGGTGACCTGTACCAGTAAGAAATGAAATCTACTTTCACCCATGTATACACTGAGTATACAAAACATTAACAACACCTTTGTCGGGGCATGGACTCTACAAGGTTCTGGCCCATGTTGACTCCAATGCTTCCCACAGCTGTGTCAAGTTGGTTGCATGTCCTTTGGGTGGTAAATAGGAATGTTAATGGTTAACCATTAGTCGGTTAGCAGCTGAAAACACATTTGCCGGTCATGCTTATCAGTCTATAGGTTAATTTGCATAATTTAGTGGAATTAAACTGGTGTCAGAATTTAACTAAATCGCCAGTCATAAAACCGGTACAGTATCTTGATCGACCGGAATTATTATTTTGCCGAAAATAGTAATGTACAGTGAGTTTATAGAGTTAGAGAGTATCTTTCTTACCTCATCTATATGGCTGTCTCTAGTCGGCCGCTCGCAAGCCACAGCGAAGACTCATTGCTAGACAACTCACAGACACAGGCTGTAGGGCGCAGTGGGAGAGGTAGAACCCATCCTAGTTGTGGCATATTTACATTTTCCCTCTTTCTGTTTCTAAAGGAGGTTAATCTCTGTCACGTGAGGGGTTGCATCAGGTGTGTCTTTTAGAACAGTGTTTTCCCACAAATTGCATTTTGGCAAATGTTTGAAAATGATTAATTCCATTCTAGGCACTTAACCCTAATTGCTCCTGTAAGTCGCTCTGGATAAGAGCGTCTGCTAAATGACGTAAATGTTAAAATGTCTGTTTTCTGTTGGTCACTTCATTTTACTGTTTGGAACGAATTTAACCATTTGTTAACCGGTTAATGGGGGTTGGTTAGTTGGCAACAAAATGGATCAACATTTGGAAACCGTTGAGCATGAAACACCCAGCAGCGTTGCAGTTCTTGACAAACTCAAACCAGTGCGCCTGGCACCTACTACAATACCCCGTTCAAAGACACTTAAATATTTTGTCTTGCCCATTCACCCTCTGAATGGTAAACATACACAATCCGTGTCTTAATTGTCTCAAGGCTTAAAAATCCTTCTTTAACCTGTCTCCTCCCCTTCATCTACACTGATTGAAATGGATTCAACAAGTGACATCAATAAGGGATCACAGCTTTCACCTGGATTCACCTGGTCAGTCATGGAAAGAGCATGTTTTCTACACTCAGTGTATATATTATGTTTTCTATGGGTATAGACAGTTAAAAGACTTGTACCTTGTCCACAGCAGACACCTTGGCTCCTTTGTCCAGCAGAAGCTCCACTATGTCAATGTTCCTCATCTTAGTGGCTTTGATCAGAGGGCTTTCTAAATCCTGACACCAGGACACATAAACACAGGTGAGAAAGCGTTTAAAGAGAATAGGTGGCTGTGTGTGTGAGACTGCTGATAGTTGAGATATGGTTACATTTACTGTAAGGTGGTTGTTTTCTCTTACCTTGGTGCAGGTCTCTGTGTCGGGGTTGCACTGGAGGATATCTCTCACCATGGTGGCGTTGCCTTTCTCCACAGCCCAGTACAGGGCTGTCTTGTTGTCCTGTAGAAGGTGAGGTGGATTGTATTTATTTCAATCAATAATGTAGTATTGAATGTCTGTGCCCCTATCCCCTATATAGTGCACTAATTTTGACCATATCCCTGTGGGCCCTGGTCAAAAGTAGTGCACTATACATGCAGTAGAGTGCCCTTTGGGACGCACAGTATGTGTCTCTGTCGCTCAGTTGGAAGAGGATGACGCTTGCAACGCCAGGATAGTGGGTTCAATTAAATGTATGCACGCATGACTGTAAATCACTTTGGATAAAAGCGTCTGCTAAATGGCATATATATAAGTAGTCAGGTGTCAGACTCCCTACCTGTCCTCTGATGTCGATGTCAGCGTATTTGTGCAGCAGAGCCCTCACTATCTCCACATGGCCTCCTCTCACTGCTCCGATAAGCACCTGTGTCTCCACTCTGTACAACACACACACACACAGGTCAGCACACAGCTTACTTTACATCCACATTTCAATACAGCACTTATAATCCAGAATCTGTGTGTGTGTGTGTGTGTGTGTGTGTGTGTGTGTGTGTGTGTGTGTGTGTATGCTTGCGCTCCCTTTGCCCACCCTGTCTGGTATGTTGACGTAGGTGCCAGCGTCCAGCAAGTCCTGGACTATCTCAGTGTAGCCCTCCTTGGCAGCGATCATCAGGGCCGTGTTGCCGTCCTTGTCTGTCATGTTGACGTTAGGGTTCCTCTTCAGAAGCTCCTTCACCACCTCAGGGAAACCTCCCTTCACTGCCACGATCAGAGCTGTCATCGAGTTCTATGGGGGGAGGGAGAGGGAGAGAGAGAAGATTGGAGGGAGATGTAGAGGAACAGAACAAAGGGAGAGAAGCGAGAGAGAGAGAGAGAGCGAGAGGACAGGAGCAAGGGAAAGAATGAGAAGAGGAGTGCAGAGAGCAGTGTTATTACAATGGTATTACATTCATCTAAAGGAACTATGTTTGATGTACAGAGCCATTCTCTATGACTTTAGACAGGTGATATCAGAGTGAGAGGTGTAGACTGCAGAACAACAATGTTCATTAGAATGTCTGTTCATTAGAATGTCTGTTCATTAGAATGTCTGTTCATTAGAATGTCTGTTTATTAGAATGTTATTCTATTTCTATGGTGTAGAGACATACTGCCCCCTCCTGGTCGACGTCGGCTCCGTTCTCCAGCAGGTGCATCACACAGTCAAAATGGCCCTTCCTGGCTGCCCAGATCAGAGGGGTGGTACCATACTGAGAGAGAGAAAGACACACACACACACACACACACACAGGGTTATCCATACTGGCACAGGTCCCTATTTCTGGCCAAAATGGGGCACCACTAACCCAAAGGCTGGCATTGCCCAGCCATGCGTCCCAATAGGTTGTCTCACCTTGTCAGAGCAGTTGACCTTGGCTCCGTTCTCCAGCAAGACCTGGACGATCTCAGCATGACCTCTGCCTGCTGCCCAGATGATGGGGTATACACTGTATTGCTGATGAGGAAGACAGAGAGTAAGGCTGCATACATGCAATACATGGGGTTGTGATGTACTGCATCTCCTTAGCCATGAGGGTTTATGAATGACAAGTATACGAACATCATTACCCGTGTAAGGAATACATCATGGATCAGGTATTTGATTGAATGCCATTACCTGCCCAGTAGTGTTGGGGTTGGCTCCGTTGTCAAGGAGAACCTTGGTTACCTCCACACGGCCTTTATAGGCAGCCCACATGAGGGCCGTCCAGCCTCCCTGCAGAACAACATTAATTACTGTACACAAACACAATCCTGCACACATTACAGTACCTTCAGGGCTTTGCATGCAAAAACATTACAAGCATAGCCTGTCCATTGAATAGTTCTGCGTTTTTATTGAAAGCACTAACTGAAGTGGACTGGGACAAGCATACAAATCAAGTTCATACAATCACCAAAACATTATAGCTTATTACTGATTGTGGCCAGTTGAAATGATTGAGTGTCTCACCATGTCTCTGTGCTCTATGTAAGCACTGCTTTCTAACAGCTCCTTCACCACCTCTACATGGCCTTCCTTAGCAGCACAGATCAGAGCAGACCAGCAGTCCTGAGAGAGAGAGAATAGCACATCACACCGGTCACCATGGAGACAGAGAGACAACGGTGACTACCGTTACCATGGAGCCATCAGGCAGAGTTCAGAATGATTGGCACATTCACAATGACTGTCAATGTCTTCATAATAGGCTTTGAAATGAATGGGAACAAAGACAGAGAGGGTTAATGATCCATCTCTCTTACCACATCATCCAGGTTAACATTGGCTCCTCTCCTGATGAGCTCCTGTACAATCTCAATACTGCCCTGCTCTGAAGCCAGCATCAAGGGCGTCTGACCATTCTGTTAGGGAGGGGAAAAAAGGCATGCATTTAGAAAAACCTACTAGAAACACAATGAATGATATTTCTTTGTACAGTAATAGACCCAATCTTCCCATTTATCTTCAACAGACACTCCTCTAAGCTATATTTTACCTTTATTAGACTGTATGTCCCAAATGGCACCCTATTATGTATATAGGGCACTACTTTTGACCAGTGCCCATTGGGCTCTGGTCAAAAGTAGGACACTATATAGGGGATAGGGTGCCATTTGGGATGCACATATATAATATGCCATTTAGCCATTTATATATAATACCTATAGATAGTATGAGGATACTCACGTCACTCCTGCCGTCCACCTCCTTGAACTTGTCCAGGTGGGCCTTGAGCGCTGCCAGGTTCTCCTCCTCCACGTAGCTGAAGAGGTTCTGGATGGCCAGAGTGGTCATCTTGATGGAGGTGGTGGTGTCCATGGCTGCAGCTACTTCCCCTCACCACCACGGCACCTGCATGGGGAGAGATCATAGAAATAGAATGCTTTAATCCTATGGCATGAGTACACTCAAAATGGCTGCCAAACCACACATTATGGCATCATTGACTTGAATGGGGATGCCGTTCTACTCGTTCTAGTTCTGTGGGAGAGATACAGGACAGTAGGGATGTTAGGGTGGGATAACATTGGTGGGAAGGCATGGGATGCTAACAACAGTAAAATAAACACTTTATTTAGCTTTGCACCAATAACAGCAAAAAACATGCTTTTCCCTCACTAGTTATAGGCTAACTTAGGCTAGGTTATGCTATATCTGGAGTTTGATTAAAAAGCAGTGTGAAACAGTGGGGGGTCTGGTGAATGTGTGAGAAAGAGCTAGAACAGGGGACATAGCCTAGTTATCTGACCCTGGCAGCCAGCAAGTGGGTCGACTACTGTGTGTGTGTGTGTGTGTGTGTGTGTGTGTGTGTGTGTGTGTGTGTGTGTGTGTGTGTGTGTGTGTGTGGTGCGTGGTTGTGCGTGCTCGTCGTCGACTCACTCTAGTGCTATCTGGCTCCCGCAGCACAGCGGGCCTGGGCCTAGGCCTAGCTATCGCCTGACATTTAAAGAACATCAGACAGAGAATTAAGCCAGAGACAGATTTCAATGGGCCACTCACTCACTGCTTTGGTGAAAGGATTTTGACACAGACAGGCAGCCACAGCAGCAAGAGTTGAAATAAATATTTGCTTGGTTTATTAAAGTCCTCCTGGCTGCTATCATCGTCTGACATGTACAGTATTTATTTTCTCACTCAAGAGAATAGCCTCTGCTTGGCAATGCACGTGTACACACAGTCTTCTTCCTATTTTACGGGCACACAAAATGGCAGTTAGTCTAATTAGGTTTTTAGACTTCTCAAAGCATGTGCTTTGCTGTTATTGGTACTAGGCTATATAAAGTGCTATTGCATTGTAATTATCCATTTGTTTTTGGCATAGTTAAACATTTGATTTTAGCCTATGTCATATTATAAATTCACAGGTAAACACTGATGGCATATAAATACAGCCAAAAATATATTGCAAAGAAACCCAACAGCATACAGTACCAGTCACAAGTTTGGACACACCTACTCATTCAAGGGTTTTTCTTTATTTGTACTATTTTCTACATTGTAGAATAATAGTGAAGACATCAAAACTATGAAATAACACATATGGAATGATGTAGTAACCAAAAAAGTGTTAAACAAATCAAAATATATTTTTGATTTTAGATTCTTCAAAGTAGCCACATTTTGCCTTGATGACAGCTTTGCATACTCTTGGCATTCTCTCAACCAGCTTCATGAGGTAGTCACCTGGAATGCATTTCAATTAACAGGTGTGCCTTGTTAAAAGTTAATTTGTGGAATTTCTTTCCTTCTTAATGCATTTGAGCCAGTTGTGTTGTAACAAGGTAGGGGTGGTATACAGAAGATAGCCCTATTTGGTAAAAGACCAAGTCCATATTATGGCAAGAACAGCTCAAATAAGCAAAGAGAAACGACTGTCCATCATTACTTTAAGACATGAAGGTCAGTCAATACGGAACATTTCAAGAACTTTGAACGTTTCTTCAAGTGCAGTCAAAAAAAACATCAAGCGCTATGATAAAACTGGCTCTTATGAGGACCACCACAGGAAAGGAAGACCCAGAGTTACCTCTGCTGCAAAGGATAAGTTCATTCGAGTTACCAGCCTCAGAAATCGGCAACTAACTGCACCTCAGATTGCAGCCCAAATAAATGCTTCACAGAGTTCAAGTAACAGACACATCTCAACAGCAACTGTTCAGAGGAGACTGCGTGAATCAGGCCTTCATGGTCTAATTGCTGCAAAGAAACCACTACTAAAGGACACCAATAAGAAGAAGAGACTTGCTTGGGCCAAGAAACACGAGCAATGGACATTAGACTGGTGTAAATCTGATGAGTCCAAATTTGAGATTTTTCATTACAACCGCCGTGTCTTTGTATACGCAGAGTAGGTGAACGGATGATATCTGCATGTGTGGTTCCCACCGTGAAGCATGGAGGAGGAGGTGTGATGGTGTGGGGGTGCTTTGCTGGTGACACTGTCTGTGATTTATTTAGAATTCAAGGCACACTTAACCAGCATAGCTTCCACAGCATTCTGCAGCGATATGCCATCCCATCTGGTTTGCGCTTAGTGGGACTATCATTTGTTTTTCAACATGACAATGACCCAAAACACACCTCCAGGCTGTGTAAGGGCTATTTGACCAAGAAGGAGAGTGATGGAGTGCTGCATCAGATGACCTGGCCTCCACAATCACCCGACCTCAACCCAATTGAGATGGTTTGGGATGAGTTGGACCGCAGAGTGAAGCAAAAGCAGCCAACAAGTGCCCAGCATATGTGGGAACTCCTTCAAGACTGTTGGAAAAGCATTCCAGGTGACTACCTCGTGAAGCTGGTTGAGAGAATGCCAAGAGTGTGCAAAGCTGTCATCAAGGCAAATGGTGGCTATTTGACACTTTTTTGGTTACTAAATAATTACATATGTGTTATTTCATAAATGTGTTTACAATGTAGAAAATAGTAAAAATAAAGAAAAACCCTTGAATGAGTAGGTGTGTCCAAACTTTTGACTGGTACTGTATGTTTATAATCACATATTAACACAGGCTCTTTGAGCCAGATGTATAGACTAGGTAGCTAAGTGATTTGTCTACCTGTAAGCATTAACTCAAGTTTATTAATCATCAGCGATAATGTGTTTCTCCAGAAAACTGGTCAGTTTTATTGCAGTAACTACATTCCTATCCAACACAATACAAGCACAGACAATATAATCTTACAATTCAGTCAGCCAGCCAAGCCTATGACCTTAACATGGGTGTGGGCGTTGGTCAGTCAAGCCACAAAAACAAACCCCTTCTGTGTGACATGAAAATAATGACTAGATTAACTAGCCTGGTCCTACCGGCAGGCTGACTGCCAGTTAAAAGCATTCCTTCCATCCCCACAGAGCAGAGCGCAGCACACGCCATCCAGCATTCACACACACAGACAGACAGACACACACACGCCATCCAGCATTCCACCACACGAGGCAAGGCAGCTAAACATCAAAACACATCGCCGTGTGCTGCACTGCTGCCAATTCCATTAATCTGTCGGCTGTCGCACACAGACAGAGGACATGGCGCACTTATTACATTGATACAACTGAGCAATCTTACCTATGGGAATAATACTGTTCTCTCTGTGGGTTGTTTTTGCCTGCTGTATCTTCTCTCTGTAATCTATGCCTCCACATACAGCGGTCCTGGCCAGCCCTATTGACTAGGCTATTCCCCCTGGCTGTGGCTGCTGATATTGAATTATGCATGAGGATGAGGTACCACCCAGCCTCTCTGGCACATGCTCAGAGGACAAGGAACAGTGGAGAAAAACAGGCCCAATATAGGCCAGCAGCACCACTGACCTAGAGACTAATATTAATCAATCAAATGTATTTTATAAAGCTCTTATTACATCATTAATATGATGTAGGCCTAGTATGAGGAGGGTTTGAACCTTTAAGACCTTCCCTTCTATCTGTGGTGTGCAACAAATATAGGCCTAGATGGAACAGCTATAGCACAGTATCTGTGGTATGCATTGAATATAGAAGGGATACGTAGGCTAGGCTATAGGTCAAAATCTGGAACCACTGCAGTGTCTCTGCTGTCTGTTCAGACTGGGCTACATCTATGTATGTGTTGTGCTTCTCTGTACCAAAGCAAAAGTACTGAAAAATAAACATACAGAAATTACATCTGCGCGAGCTTGGTTGTTGCTGACTAAACTCAACTCCACGATTTACGATGTTGTTGAGCGGCAACTAGTGTGGGTAGACTGGAGCTCCGACGTCACATAAAATTAAGTTTTTACAACAATGTAGTGTGTAATTGCGGGATATTCTTTGGGTGCTGAAATCAGTAGTTGTTTATAAAAACGTAATTGTGTGTGATGTCGGAACTCTAGTCCGCACACACTGGTCGGCGCTCAACTCCATCGTAAATCGTGGAGTTGAGTTTAATCGGCTAGCTTGGTTGGTGACCTCAAAATCACTTCAAATAATAATGCAAGGTTTTTAAATGTGGGATTTACATCAAAATTATGCATAGTTTATGTATACTCAGTGTATGCAGTGACACCGCTTGTTGCTTTGATACGATGCATTAGATTAGGCTACACCATCATCATCATCAGTCATCACCATCAGGATGTACAGTGAGGGAAAAAGGTATTTGATCCCCTGCTGATTTTGTACGTTTGCCCACTGACAAAGAAATGATCAGACTTTGAAAAGGCATTTGATAAAGTTCGACTGGGGTGTATATATAAATACCTGGAGCATTTCAATTTTGGGGAATCTCTTATAAAATGGGTCAAAATCATGTATAGTAACCCTAGGTGTAAAATAGTAAATAATGGCTATTTCTCAGAAAGTTTTAAACTGTCAAGAGGAGTGAAACAAGGTTGTCCACTATCGGCATATCTATTTATTGTGGCCATCGAGATGTTAGCTATTAAAATCAGATCCAATAATAATATCAGAGGATTAGAAATCCAGGGCTTAAAAACAAAGGTGTCATTGTACACTGATGATTCATGTTTTCTTTTAACATGAACTAGAATCCCTCCACAGCCTCATAGAGGATCTAGATACATTTTCTAACCTCTCTGGATTACAGCCAAATTATGACAAATGTACTATATTACGTATTAGATCACTAAAAAATACAATTTTTACATTACCATGTAGTTTACCAATAAAATGGTCTGATGGTGATGTCGATATACTCGGAAATACATATCCCAAAGGAAATAAATGATCTCACTTCAATACATTTTAATAGAAAGTTAGCAAAAATAGATAAGATCTTACTACCATGGAAAGGAAAATACCTGTCAATTTGTGGAAAAATCACCCTGATTAACTCTTTAGTATTATCCCAGTTTACCTATTTGCTTATGGTCTTGCCTACGCCTAGCGAACAGTTTTTGAAATTATATGAGAAAAAAATATTCTATTT